TCCAGCTTGGGTTAATGTGAAGAATTTCCTCCTTCCCCTCAGCCCTGTGCAGGAAGCCTGCAAGCACAGCAGCCCCATCATCTGATTAGGCCCCGTCCTATGCATGCTTCCTGAAGCACAGCACAGGGCTATAGGGGCTGTGCTCATCCCTCCGAGCTCATCCCACGGGGCAGAGGTGCCCAAGCACTGCTTCTGCCCAGGGTGCTGCCAAAGCAATGGGACAACTCCATGCTGACTGCAGGAAGAGGACTGAAGCAGTGCTTGCAGAGCCACTCGTGTGCACACCTGGAATGCCCAGCAGCTCCTGGAGCACAAAGCTGCCATTCATCCCATCCCTGGGAAGAAACACCTCCTAGGAGCCCAGTAATTCAAACCTCATTGGAAGGAGCTGCGAGCAGCTCCAGAACCGCAGAGGAAGCTCACCCTGAGCCTGCAGGAGCTGGAACACTGGCTTCCCCACTGCAGACGGCGAGGAATTCTGCTTGGCAGCCCACAGGAGATACAGCTGCATCCCAGGAACGTGTTTCAGGGCTGAGAGCACCACATTTGTCTTGGGACCGTAACAAGAACAGCTCGCTGCCCTGGGGAAGCCATGGGATGCTGGAAAATCACCCAGGGCCCAATCCAAAGCCCTCTCCTTAGCAATAGCAGCTCTGCTTCTCTGAGCTGGGCCATTAACTGTTCTTATTCCCTTGCTGGAAAAGGCATAGAAATCAGAATGTTTGTGCTTCCTGCACCAGGAATCACCACCTCCCTCCTGCATTCAAAGGCCAAAGTAAGCAGCCCTTGCAAATACTTCAGCTTAATATTGACATTTGCAGTCGGGGCAGGAAGCATGCGTTTTCTCACTGGTAATGGCAGCAGATGAAGGAGGCTGGGCAGCATGAAAGCTTTCGGGATGCAGCCGATGCACAACACTGAAACCACAGCATCAGGACTGAGGAGCAGGGACCTCTGCAGCTCACAGCATAGGTACCACCAAGCAGCCGGTCCTGCAGACCCAGGGCAAGCCCCACTCTGGAAGAAGACGCCAGAAAGTGACATTTCCTCATTTCCTCCAGACTTTTCCTTCCTCCCAGCCACAGCATCTCAGGAAACAGGGCCCTGCAGACAAGGGCAAGGCACCAGCTGCCATTCAGCCCATGCTCCAGATGCCGCGTTGCTGATGGCACTGCTGCAGCAGGGCTTGGTTCTCCCTCACTCGCTCACCAACACTGATACAATGCCCTAAGAAGGCCATAAGGACGGGACAGTCATAGCAAACGGGGCACCCAGGCTCACAGCAGCTCCACGCCATCCATCAGCCTATAATGCCAAAGCGCCCTTAATTCCAAGGGACCCCACGTGAGCCTGGAGGAAAGGATGGAGGTGCAATGCTGACAATGCACAAAGGATTGAGGCCAGCACTTTGGCTGGGCCTTGTAGAGAGCATTCCTTTCCAGGAGCCGCTCCCAGCTGCCCAGCAGCACAGGTGGAAGCTCAGAGGGTGCACCTGGGTTCAACCAGAGGGAGAAGGGCATTGTCCAAATGCAAAAAGAGAACGATTCCATCCCACGAGGGCTGGAACACGATGCGATGCTGCTGGGAGAAAGGACCCGAGCAGTCCTGCAGGCCCAGGAGCAACACATTCAGCACGTGGCTGGGAGGAACAGGGGCAAAAGATGATGGCAACAGCACAAGAGCTGCTCCACACAGCTTCAAGCCCTCGACAGAGCAGGGATGCTCACAAAACACCACTCGGCACCTGTTGCATCCAAAGCTGGATGGCAGAGAGACCCAAAAATCCCATAAATCAGCCAAGACCCTGAATCACAGCGCTGTATAAATGTGTCCAAGGAGGACCTGGGGTTATCAGATGTTCCAGAGACCCCCAGCTCATGTCCTGCCCAAATCCCATCCCCAAACAAGCACTCCCTGCCTGTAAGCGACCCTCACTGTGAGGTGCCCATCAGCTCTACTCCCATCCCAGGGCTCTCCAAACCACAGTTGACTTCTGACAGCAGAATCGGCCCCTGCAGGTCACCCTGTGCCATGAGAGCTAACGAGAAGGGCCGGCCCCATGGCAGCTATAGGGAACCACATCCTGCTGCTCTCAGCTCCTATGGCAAAGGGACAATAGAGCAGACGATGCATCGGGCGGGTGGGTGCCCTTCCCGGAGGCGGAGCAGGGAGGGAGGAACTGGGGACTGATGCCCTCGTGCTGTAAGGGCTCCTGCTGCCACCGCAGAAAAGAGAGCAAAGCTACAAAACAGAAACGCCGGCAGCGCTCCGGATGCTCCAAGTGCCTCATTGCAAACTAACACCCCTCCCAAAGCAAGTCGGTAAGTTTGCTCCCACCACCGCACAGCACCACGCGCTACAAGGCAACGGCACGCGGGACAGGAGCAGGAAAAGGGAGAAAACACTTCATAGGGGGCACAGGGGCAGCAAAGCCTCACTCCCAACACCGACCCCCAAACTGCCCGGCAACGAAGGGGGAGAAAAGGAGGGCCGGGGGCAGCCGTCAGCCCTTACCTGCGGGAGGTCATGGCTCCGCACGGCTCCGCACCGACTGCCGCGCTGCCACCGCACCCGGCGGGCGGGAGCCCCGCGAGCGGGGAAACCCCTCCCAGTGACATCCCGCTGGCCACGCCCCCCTTTTAGCCACGCCCCTTTAGCCACGCCCGCACGTTGATCACGCCCCATTTGACCACGCCCCCTAATCTGACCACGCCCCCCCAGCTTCCCCCTATGGACAGCGATCTGAGCTCGGCTCTGCTTTGGGGCTGAAGCCATCGAGATGAAGAGCTGCTGGCCAGACTTAACAGCGCCCAGTGCCAGCACTGAGCTGCTCCCCAACCCCAATTCGAGGGGTCTCTTCCCCCCTCCTCCCACCCCGCGTCCGTGGTGATGGATGCACACAAACCACGACGTCCGAATTTTCGGCTGGGCTGACCCAGGTGTGCCGTGGGATTTGTGCCCGTTTCGCCGTCGGAAGCGTCAGTTTGGGTCTTTGAGGAGCTCGTGTCAAATAATTGGCATCACTTCTCACAAAAGGCAGCGACCAACCCCAACGAATGATCTGAATCTGGCACCTCCCATGAATGCAGGGTGAGGAAACAAAGCCAGCTGTCCCCTCCCGCTCCCCCTCCCCTTCCTCCCCCCAAACCCAGCCCGCTCACGGTGGCAAAAATAGCACTTTTATAACTATAATAAGACTCAGCAAATTCCGTGTCTATTCGGGGAATACCCGGCAGCTGGCGGAGCAGCAGCTCATGGCTCAGTGAGGTCACACAGATGCGCTGCGGGGCAATGGGGGCCAAGCAGCAACCCCAGTAACAATGCGCCCTGTGCTCTCCTTCCTCGTTCCCCCCCCCTTTGCCCAGGATGTAGTGGCTGCCACAGCACTGAGACTGCACTGTGAGGGACCACATTGTGGCTTCTGTGTGTGTGAGATGGCTGTGACCCCCCTGCTCCGTCCCGTGCTCTGTCTCAGTTGGAGTTTTTCATGCCCTGTGTCATAGAAACATAGAGTGTGGCTCAGGCTGTCCGGAGCAGCATGGGTCACTCATCCCTGGAGGTGCCCAAGCCCGGGCTGGATGGAGCCCTGAGCAGCATGGTGTGATGGGGTGCACTCAGCCCACAGCAGGGGTTGGGACTGGGTGGGCTGTAAGGTCCCTTCCAACCCGCAGCCATCCTGTGATTCTATGGAAGGGACCTTAAAAATCACCCAGTGCCCGGGTTGCCCTCTGGGTTAGGGCACTGATTCAGCAGCAAGCATCTCTGGGTTTGTCCTGAGAACCAAAACCCCTTTCCAAGCACGACGGTTAACTAGAGGAGCACTGAGTGCTGCTCAAAGCCATCTGAGCTTCCCTCCTGACCCCAGGTGCCACCGGCTGGACATAGTGGCACCCAAGTCCCCTCACTCCCACTACAGGCTGGGTGTTGGCTGGGGGGCTGCCAGAAGCACAGCCAAGCCCTTCCCTGAATCACGCCTGCTGCCTGCCCAAGCGTGCCCCCAACTCGGCTCTTCCCCTTCTTTCCTTCCTCTTTCCACTCCCAAAGAGTTTTTCCAGCACGCAGTTAAAAAAAAAAACAGAACAGAAAACCAACACATCCAGCTGTCAGAGCTCAGCTTTTCATTCTGGCCAAGACAATGACAGCTTTTTCTCCTATTGCTTTGCAGCGAGCTGGCAGAGAGCCCTTGAAAGAGGCACTGACTTTGCAAGCCCGTGCCTGTTGTAGCATAATAAGGTCATTGTCAAGAAGACGCGGCACCGGGAGGCTGATCTTGAGCAAAACATGGCCCCGGTTGTGCGTTGTGCAACCCCTGTGGCTGCTCCAACAGTGGCCCCATTGTTTCCCATTGTGAGGCCACGGCGTCTCGTTATCCAGCGCAGAGCCGGCTCACGCTGGGCTGGCGCAGACGCTGCTCCATCATGCATCACTGCTGAGTGTCAGAAGGACGGCGTGTGCTGAATTAGCTGCCTCCCGAACGGCACGACGCGATGTTCTCACTTTGCACCACCCATGTGAGCTCTTGGCTGGATAGAATTCTTCCCTACCAGCCGCCTTATCTTGCAGAACAGCTCAACGTGGAAAGGCTTTGGGAGGAAAACCCGTTTGGAGCAGGAAATCAGGCTGTGGAACATCTCCCCGACCACATCCACGGCTCCCGTGTTGGAGAAGATGAACTGCTGCCCCTGGTGAAATGCAGGGCATGGGGCATCACGTAGGTTGGGCTGATATGGTGCCAATGGGATGCAAAGCTGCTGCTGAAAGCCGGGAGGAAGTGATGGCAAGGAAGGAAAAGATATGGATCATCCTGAGAAGAGGGGAAGCAAAGACACCAAGTCTTCCAAGTACGAGGTTGGCATCCATAGGAAAATATAACACCCCCATGAGCCACTATGGGAGAGCTTGGTTGGATTCCACCCAGGAGGCAAATGGAAACCAGTGGGCAAGTGAGGCACGCAGCAGCAGAAAGAATAAAGAAAGCAACAGGCCCCTTAAAAACATACTTAATCGTTTCCAAACTTTATTTCATGGTGATTGACGAAAGACACAAGTTAGTAATGGTTATATCATGCTGCTCCTCTACTGTGCATTGCCCTTCAGAATTCATACAGCAGTTCACAACAGTCATTAATTTACCCTATAAATGAAGCCACATGGACATTATTTAAAAAAAAAAAAAGAAAAAAAAAGAAAAAAAAAAGAAAACCCAAACCTCAATGTCGTTATTTTTTGTTGTTGCACACACATGTTATAAATGCTATTAAAAATAAAGCCGAGGTTGAGTGCACGGCCCCTAGGGAGCACTGCAGGATCCGACCCAGGCTCGACAATGAGGACACGGCGTCCTGTTTTAAGGCATTTCCAAGCCCCAGCAAAAGCAGACAGAGTTCTTGTTGCAGTTTTTTTTTTCCTCTTTTTTTTTTTCTTTTTTTTTCTTTTTCTTTTTTTTTTTTTTTGCAGTGACCCTGGCTTCATTTCAGTGGCATTCTGGAGATTGAGCAGCTTCCTCCATGGTGCCCTTTTCCCACTGGAGCTGGCACGCTCCCTGTTGGTCTCCGTGGGGTGGCCTTGTCATGCAGCTGAAAGCCCCAACGCAGTCATCCCCCCCAGGACCCACACATTATATACAGCAGCCACTCAACACGTGCTGTTGCCACACACACAAACACTGGAGCCTCCAATTCTCAACAGTCTTCCCTGAAATGTGTAACCATTGGGATTTTAGGTTCATGACAATAGATCAAGCATCGACTTGCATGGGTGGAGGTGGGCAATGGGGCTCTTCTTGGCTTGGCAAGAAGCAAAAAGCAGCCCGAGTGGTTTGCCACGGTGCTCTACCCATTATTAGGTCTGCATTCAGGGCTTGCTCTCAGAAAAGCCCTCTGACTTCTCTGAAAGCATCTTGGAAGGGAAGGGTACACCAGAAGGTGAGATAGGAATCGGGGCAAAACCACCAACCGACAGCCCCTGGGATACCAGGGAACCTTCCAACCCATTCTGCACGCTCCGTAAGGCAGCTGGCCACAAAGCACTGCCAGCTGCCTTCACAGGGTGGGATGGGGACACTGCGGTGGCCCAGTGGTGACAGATGCCACGGGGCAGCAGGGAGCTCTTCCCATGGAGAAGGAACCTGAGTCACGGCGCTCAGAGCTGCGATCCCTTTGTTTTTGCTTCAGGGAGCCCCAGTGTTTGCACACATCCACACACACACACACACACTTGCACACAGTGGCTGTGCAGCTGGCACTTTGCTTTCAAGACTCGAATGGAGGAAGACAAGACTTCAAAGACGGTAAAGACAACACTTTAAAAACCCCCCTCCCCAGCTCTCCCATCTGGCCACTTGGTTCCCAGCCCAGCCCATCCTGCTGGAGCCATTGCTGATGGCACTGGAGGAGCTCTGATTGTGGCATGGAAGCCCCTGCGTTGCACCGGGTGCTGCAAAAGCTTGAAGACAAAGGTAAAACGGTGAGCATTTGCCATGGCATGGGTTCTAACATCAGCTTACAGAGATGCGCTGCAACCGTCCTCACGGTAGGCAGAGGGCAGGTCGTGCCAGGAGGCTGGAAAACGGATGTGGGTCAAGGCAGGACAGGTCCAAGAGGTTTCTTTAAAGCAGAAGGAGACCCAATCCCATGCCCTCGTAGCCAGTGCTGGAAGGAGGGACCCCCAGCCCCCGAGGACGTGTTGCAAGTTGTCAGTGGTGCACGGTTTGGGGCACAGAAGCTCTCGCAAGAGCAGCCAGGGTAAGCAGGTGGTGAGGACAAGTCTGGGTCAACACAAAGCATGGAAATGAGGTTTCACAGCTGCTTCTGCATGTGTCCAAGAGGAGGAGGAGGAGGAGAGCCAACAGAGAAACCGACACTTCTCCCCTTCCCTCCAGCCCCTCTCAGTCCAGCAAACAGGCATAAGACAACCAAAGAGCAATGCTTTTCTGCCTGCTCAGAGCAGACCTTGGTCTCTCTTCCAGTGCATGGCATCCCTGATTTAACAGAGCACAAAGGAGAAAAGCACTTGAGATCCTTACACACATAAATTATAGTGAGAGGAAGGGGGGAGGAGGGGGACAGGGTGAACACAGGGGCCTGAGATAGGCGAGTGGTGAACCCACAAAGGCCACAGGGCTTGCCAGCACCAGCATCCTTTATCCCCCCACGGTGTGAATGGCAACCCAAGAACACAAGTAAGGAGGGGAAAATAAACAAACCCCAAAAGAAGCTTCAAGTATGAGTGAGATTTACAACACGGGTGCAATGGGGAAGTTCTTCTGTCACTTCTTGGAGACTTGGTTCAAGGTTTGTTCTTTGTTGCTGCTGCTCGATTAGAGTCTGACTGACCTGGATATACTGCAACCGAACAAAATAACCCAACAGAAACGGTGGTTCCTCCCCTCCCTTTCCCCCCTCCCCCCAAAATATAAAAAGCAATAAGTTTACAAAAATAGAAAATAATTACAGCAATAGGCAGGAGGAAGGGAAGGAGAAGGAAGGGTCCCTGGGGGTCTATTTGGCTGAGCAGTGTAATATCGTGGGGTTGTTTAAAGCGTCCTCCACCAGATGCAGTTCCTGGCGGTCGACAATCACGTCCCTTATACAGCCAATAAAGCCAGTGCTGTAGGCCTTGGGCAGCTTGTGAGCCACACTGAGCCGCTCCATTCCCCCTGCAAGAGAGAACAGGGATGTCAAAAGACACATTGCCATGCTCCGGCACCCTGCCCGCCAGCACTGCGCACACGTGCCTTACTCAGAAACCTCTTTCCTGGCCAGAATTTGTGTTAGGTCAGATGTTTGGAATTAATTTACACTGAGGGTACAGAGGCAGCAGAACAGGTTGCCTGAAGAAGTCGTGGCTGCCCCGTCCTTGGAAGTGTTCAAGGATGGGGCATTGGGCAGCCTGACCTGGTGGGTGGCAACCCACTCCATGGCATGGGGGTTGGAACTCGATGGTCTTTCAGATCCCTTCCAACCTAAGCCATACTGTGATTCTTTGTCTTCTCAGAGGCAAGATGACGTTACTTGGATGTGAAGTCTTTGTAAGATGGGTTAGACCTGAAGCTACCAGCTTAGAGAAGGAAGAGATGCTTCTGGGAGGCCAAACTTGTCCGAAGCACTTGCATGCAAAGGCACTGCACATCCCCAGCCACGGGTGCATGAGGTTTTCACTCTGCCCAAGCCCTTACCCAGCCACAGGGCCCCGTCTGTGTCCAGCTGCGTGGCACCCAGCGGCGAGGAGCCAGTGATGGGAGCTTCGTTGCCGACCTGGAGGGAGCCTTCTCTCTGTACTCTGCTCCATCGGGGAAGGAGGAAGGGATAGAATTAAAACCCTTGGAGGAGACGCCCAGGGCTGCCCCCACGGCAATCCACGGCACGCCAACCACGCCGCTCTCGCCGCTCCCTGACCGCCCAAACGCGGGGACAGCAGAATGTCAAACCTTCTGCTGGCCAAACTAAAAGGCATGAACCTTTCCTTTAGCCTTTCCCTTTGGCATTTCCCAGAATGGAGGACAGGCGTGTCGCAGAACGCACCCCATTGCCCACATGCCTCTCCTCTATTCTTATCCAAGGACGGGAGTGACCCCTGGGGGCCTCGCTCTTGACCCCGTGTCACCACTTGCCCATCCCAAAGTAGTCCAGCCCAACCCCACTCTTGCCCCCTTCCCACCTGTATGCTTTGATGTGGGTCCAGTGGTTGGTGTTGATGGGGACCGTGGACCGCAGGACGACTGGCTTGGAGCCCAGGTCATACATCATCTGGACAAAGCCATCCACGATGGCGAGGGCGATGTAGTCGGATCGCTCCAGCCCCTTCCCACTCCACAGGATCAGGCCCTGGGTGGCTTCTGTTTTGATGCTCAGCTCAAAGTGGTTGGATTGCAAAGCCTTCTCGCTACGTCAGGAGAGCACAGAGAAGTGTTAAAACACAGCTGTGAAAGCAACAGGTCCCCAACCCAGCTCCTGCTCCCAGCAAGGCCATCACCAGAGATAGACAGGGTCATCTGGGCTCTGGCACCTGAGTTTGCCCATAGAGGCAGCAAAACCATCTCCATCCCAGACACAGCCGTTTTTCCAGGGGAGGAATGCGTCCAGGACAGCGTTTTCCTCACACTGCTGTTTCCATCTTTCTCATACAGAGTCACCATCCACCCTCCTGGGACGCTCCAAGACACGTGCACACAGACAGGACAACACAGACAGCTTTTTGTTTCCAAAGGACACCACGGTCAGAGGGCTGGACAGGAGCAAAACGCCCACTGTGTTCCCAGGGTAGAACCACAGAATCTCTGAAGTTGGGAAAGACCTTTAAGATCCCCAACTCCAGCCCTCACCACGCCTGCTGACCGTGTCCCTCAGTACCACATCTCCATGCTCTCAACAGGGACAGAGCCTCTCTCACCTCCCTGGGCAGCTTGTGCCCGTGCCTCACCACTCTCTGGGAGAAGTTTTTCCTAATATCCAACCTTTAGCTCTGTTTCCCTTTCACCCACTGCCAAAAAAAAAGGCCCCAAGGAGCAAGGGACAGAGCTGCTGCTCATCTGCTGGAGCTTCCTTTGTGTGTTTGCCCTCACCACCTGCAGAGCTGCATCCTTTACAAACAAAAAGCCCAGAGTACAGCATATAGAAGGAGCATGGAGACGTGGACACGCAGAGGCAGGGAGAGCAGAGCACGGAGCACAAGAAGCCTGGCACGACTCACCTGGGCTCAGCAGGGTAGTCCAGTGCGTCAGGACTTAGATGCAGGAAGAAAGGGGAGCATGCAGTAAGCACAAGGCAGCAGAGGAGACCCTGCCCTCCCACCCTGCCCAGCCTCAGCAGTTCTTGGGCTGAGCTTCCTCAAGCCAACAAGACAAGTGTGCATGTTGCTGCTGTCCCAGAGCCCTGTCCCAGGGTTGGGATTGCTCGTGTTCCTGCCGATCCCTCATGCTAAAATGTTGGGGTGTGCAGCCAGGCAGCTGAGATGGGCACTGCTGGGGAAGGGGCGTTTTGGGGAAGGGACCTTCTGGGGAAGGCCCCATGCAAGGAGCACTTCATGGCCAGCCACCTGCCAGCCTTTGGGATGGGGAATGGGAGCTGCACGGTCACGTAAGGCTGCTCTGAGTCAGCCTCAGGGCACTCGGGCGTGCACAGAGAAGGGGAAACCCAGGAGTACAGCTGTCTTGCTGGCACTGCTGGGTGCATTAGGGGCTCCAGCTCCAGAGATATGTACGTATCACAAGGTATGTTCAAAACAAAATGTACGGGCATGTCGTGGCCAGCAGAGCCATGCAGAGAAGCAACTGGAGTGCCGGTCCTGCCCCAGGCACACCCGATATCTGTCTGCAGGAAGGAGAAGTGACTTTTTATGGGCAACCCAACGAGCCCTTGAGGCCTGCTGAGAGCCGCTGCCAAATCCCAGCTGAGGGATTTGGGGAGAAGTGCTAAGCTCCCTTTGCAGGATGGGGCACGCACAGCCCAAACGGGCACGGGCTGGCTCAGGTGGGGAGGTGGCTGGGGAGGGTGACCTTCCCCTTGCGGGTGCTGGCAGAGGCAAGACATGAAGGCAGCAGCTTTCTGCTCCTCCGCAGGGATGTGGTTCATCAGTGCTGCTTGTCCACTTACTTTACTTCCGTGTTTAATACTTTGCTGCTGATGGAAGAGACTCATACTGGGACCTTTCCTGCTCTGCGCTCATCCCTTTGAACTAAAGCTAAGTTGCAGCAAGCAACATCTGCCTGCAGCAAAGCCAAACAGCAGCCCTGGCGAGTCACCAGAGCTGTGCCATCCTTGCCATGGGCTGGAAGTGCCACCCGTGGAAGCCCCAGGCGAATGCCCCCATGCCTGTCCCCATCCTGTCCCACGGGTGGGCTGCAGGGAGGGCTGTACTTACGCAGGGATCTCATTGCTCAGGTGGCTTGAAAACAAAGAAACAACGACACTGAGAAGAGACAGACAGACAGAGAGACAGACAACAAACAGAAGGCAGATGCTCTCCTCGGGCAGGAATTTAGTGCAAGAGGGGTCAGAGGAAAGTGCAAAGAGGAAATGGATGGAGCGTTAACATCAGCGTCACCCCACCCCAGCACCCAGACCTGACGCTGGCGCTGTGGGGAACCCCTCCATCAAGAAGGCAGTTTTTGAGGTATGGGCTGGAAGTGAAGGTTCACAGCCTCTCTTTGGACACTGGCTTTAGGCTTCTTTGCCCCTGTCTCTCCAACTCCTCGTTTTGATCACAGCTCAGCTCCACAGCCAAGTTACCTCTTTGTCACGGCGTTGTGGTACTCCATGTACGTCCTACCATCAAATGCAATGGCCTCTGCATCTCCAGCTGCCTTCTCAATGATCACTGAAGGTGGGAAAAAGAAGAGCTGTCAGGCAACACAGCACAGCCTGTCTGTCCTTGGGGATCAGGAAGATCCTCCTTTATCCACGAAGGAGGGAGGCAGGCACAGACATGGCAGCACAGCAACCCTGAGCCCTGACTTTTCAGGCAGAGCATAGGCCAGCTACCACTTTTGCAGCCAACTGACATGAAATCTGCAGCTTTTGTGGTTTCTTGGCTAAAGTCAGGGAGGAACCCGGGCTCGGTGATGGTCCTGACCACCCATCTGCAGGAGACTGCCAACCAGCCAACACTCTGCTTCCCAGCACAACGAGAAGATGGAACTGGTGGGGGTTCCTGCCATGACAGCCTCACCTTTCTCGCAGTGAGCCCCAGAGAAGCCCCTCTGGCACACACACTCGTAGCTCTCCATCCGGGGGCTGCAGGTGCCTCCGTTCTGGCATGGGTTGGGCTTTTGGGTGCAGGGGTGGGCACGGAATGGGGAGATTTCAACGGCGCTGCGGATGTGCTGCTCCTTCAGCAAGGGAACCCCTTTGATGGAGATCTGGAAGGTGGGGAAGGACAAGAGACAACCTTTGTATCCCGTAACTATGAGCCCTGAGCCCCACACGTCCTCAGGACACGTCCTTGTGCACAGGGATCCGTGTGCTGGGAATGTCCTCATGGAGACTGGCACCTCTGGCACCAGGCTTACCCTCTGCACAGCTCCATAGAAGCTGGTGGAGATGGCTGCAGCTCGAGCCAGCTTGCTGAAATCAGGGGCTCCCCCCACGTAGAATGGCTCCTTCAGGTTCAGGAAGGCATGAGGCACCTGGCAAGGAGGGGAGATGGAAGGAGAGCAGCATTCAGATGCTGCAGCAAACCTGATCTAACGAGTGGCATCCTTGCCCTGCCAACCCAAGCCATTCCATGACTGTATTGGCCATTTCAATGATAAAAAGGAGGTTCTCCTCTAACTCCAATGATTTGGGAACCTGGGTCATGGCAGCAGGACCAGGATGCAGCTACATGAGTCACTAGCTAATGCTTTGTGGAGTTAACACAAGAAAAATGACCAGATTAATTGTAATGTAATTCTGAAACAAAAATGCAACAACCGGCTGGAAATTAATGAAGAGGAAACGAGTGTCTCTAATCTACAGAGATCCTAAAGCTGCTTGGTCAGATGGGAAGGGGAGCAGGTGAGACACTGAGATCTGGATGGAAAACAGAAGAACAACGTGCCAATGGCAGATGAGATGGAGGTGCAGTGGGTCATACTTATCTGTACCTTACGGGATTTCTGGGATCCAGACAGCAGGGGAGGGAAAAATACAAATGCAAATCAAAGGGAGAGAGAAAGAGAGAGAGAAATGGAAGATCAGTGGGTAACATCACAACATGCAGGGTTGCAAGAGCAAGGAGCGTGCAGCGGCTGTCCCACAGCATCCTCAGCTCCCAGGTCTCGCCCACTCCTCCTCCACCCTCCATGCACCTCCAGGATTAAAAGCCCACAAGTCTGGTGTCTCAGCTGGCTTCACACAGGAGGGGAGCAAGGTTGGAAGCCCGGAGAGCTCTGGGCAGCTTGCTTTGGCCTGTCAACGTACCGGTGACTCTCCCATCACCCTCTCGCCGTTGTTGATCCTCATTACCCCCTTGCGCCCACTCCTCTCCAACAAAACGCTTATCCAGGTGTTGAGGGGAATTGGCTCTTTGCTCCTGGTGGTGGAAAGGGAGGAGAAGACGTACAGTGAGAGCTCTGCAATGAGCCCCTGTGAATACCCACTCCACCTGTACAGGCACAGCCCACGGGACAGGCCCCAATCACAGCCAGCAGGAGCCACTGCTGCCAGCATGGCACCTCCCCTGCATCCGTCCTGGGGATGGAGCTCCAGCCAGCGCTGGGCAGTGGAGTAGTAGCCCCCTGTAATCACCACCATCCTGCTTCCAGCCCTACCTGAGCACGGCTGCCCCTTTGCCCAGGTCGTATCGATACTCCAGGTAGCCGTCGTGCAAAGCCAGAGACACAAAGTCTCCTTTGCCATCTGTCTTCTGCCCATTGTAGAAGATCATGCCGCTGGGACTCTTGGCCAGGAACACCACTTCCATGGACATTTTGTCCCTGAGGAGAGAAGGATGACAAATACCCTTCAAACCAGCTGCCCACAGCCTCTTCTACCACCCTTGTGCAAAGGGCCCCGGAGACAACTGCCTGCCTGATCCCACCGATCTCTTAGGGATGCCACCCACTGACCCGACAGGCAGAACTGCCGTGTAGGAGAGACATATGCCACCTTCAGGATGCCAGCCTGCAGTGCTCACACTGCCCACTGCAGCACAAGGCACCTTGGCACATCACTGCCGCAGCCTGGCAACAGCAATTCCAGCAATCCCAGTCCCTCTAGATAAAATCTCCAAGGTTTTGCCATTGGCAACACGCTCTTGAGCACTTACTGCAGGTCAGGAACGAAGGTCTGCAGCCCGTTCAGCTCCAGGTAGGAAAAGCCATTGAACTCTGGGAGGAAGGGCATGGTGTGGTCCTGCTCCGTCACTGGGCACAAACGAGGGAATGGTGAGGAAGAGGAGGCAGAGCAGCTTCAGCATCAAACAGGGGCTCCTAGTCATGCAAGCTAAGGGCACTTGCAGCTCCAGCCCTCCCCAGCCCCAACACACCTCGCTCACAGAACTCTCCTTCCCGTCCCATGGGACAGGCACACATGGCACCTCCCTCTGGCAGCACCAGGCAGGTGGCAGAGATGTGGCACGGCGTCGGGTCGCATGGGTTCCTCTCATCAGCACACGTTGGACCTGCAGCAGAAGAGCAAGATGGTCACATAGGCGTTCTAACAGCCAGCAGGCACGATTTGGCCAGAGACAACCCTGCTTTGGGGTGGGCAGAGGATGGCATGTCTCCTAATGGCCCTGCCAGCCCCTCTGTCCCACCTCAGGTTGGGCTCACATGGCTCAAGGACTCCCTGCAATGGACCCCACAAAAGGACAGGTGATGCCCACACATGGCTCTGCCCTCAAATACACAGATCCTGTCCATTGTCTCATGCACGTATGGTGAGATCTGAAATTGATTCTGTCTCCAATGGGCACGGCTTCATCCTACACTTCTTGGAGGCGCTGCCAAAGCTCCCCACTGCATCTTCCCCTCTGCCACCCCAAAGGCTTTCGGACCCCTCAGGACCACCCAGCGGGACCAGGAGCCCCAGCAAATGCCCTGCCCCATACCGGTGTAGGAATGAAGACACTCGCAGTGGAACATCTCTGCCTCCTTGACGTGGCAGATGCCCCCATGGTGGCAAGGGTTGGGGTGGCAGGGGTCGTTGCCGCACTCTCCCACCCCACTGCCGTACAGCACATCGCTGCCTTTCTCCCGCAGGTCGTACATCTGGTTGTTCACATCCAGGAGGCGGATGCAGCCCTTCAGGCCAGCCGTAGCCGCGGTACGCTCTGCCACTCTGAAGGGACAAAGGACACGGTGGGCAGGGGAGAAAAACACCAGCGCATGGAAATCTTGTTTTCGCGGCCACCCCATGGGGACGGCGCGGCGCCTTTACTCACACAGCCATTTGGTCCTCGGGAGCTCCTCCAACAAAGAGGTCGGTGTCGAGGTTGAGCCCGTCGGTGCCCGTGGGGCTCTCCCCGCTGACGTGGGGCTCCCCATCCACAGCCAGCATGCCGCTGCGGCGGTTGCGGTTCACCACCAGCTGGTGCCATTTGCCAGGCTCCACGCGCACCTTGCTGGTGATGACGCCCGTGCCGGAGCCCGTGTTAAACCTGGAGCAGAAGATGGAGAGGCTGACAGCCGTGCCGCCTCGCAGAGAGGTTGCGTGCACTGTAAGGGCAGCTGCGCCCCAGGCTGAAGCTGGGAACTTGAATCTCTGCCTTTTTGGAAAGGTAAAAATAATTCCATCTTGGGTTTCTGGGGCTTTTCTCTCCCTCTACTCCCCCCTACGCTTCTTTTTACAGTGTAAGAACAGCGCCAAAAAAAGAGCTCAGAAAAAAAAAAATCAACTTCCCACACCTTCTAGCTTTTTAAAATTCAAACCGAGCGACACGAATTAATCAAAGTGCCACAGGGAAATACGCTGCAAAAACTGCTCCCCCTCTTCTCCATTTGCTCCTACCACTCCCTCACGTAGGAGCCTGCACCCTGGGCACCCACCTGAGCTCCACGAAGCCGCCCACCAGCGCCAGGGAGATGAAGTCCTTGCCACGATTCTGCCCGTTGTAGAGCAGCAGCCCGCTGAGCTCCGTGGCCCTGAATTCCATGGCGATGCGCACGGTGTGGTACGCCTTCATCATCTTGAAGGCCAGGTAGGACTTGCCACCGAAGCTGGGGATGAAGTACCTGATGGCTGCAAGAGGCAAGGAGGGAGAAGAGCAAGCCCCGTTAGAAGGAACAGGATTCAGCATCCACATCCAGAAGCAGTTTCAGCTTAGAGCTTCAGGGACACCGCTTTCCAGGAATCAGCACTGGGAGCCACCCAGAGCTCTGCTGTGACAGTGGGAGCTCACAGTGAGTAACAGCAGCTCTGGGTGAGCATGATGTGCACGAGGCTGTTTGCTAAGCAGCTCTGAGCATGGGGGAATAGCACCTGAATCATCAGCAAAAGACAGCACCGGTCTCTCTGCGCTCAGTAACTTCAGGAGCCGCAGGCAATGCCGTGAGATACAAAAGCAGAAGCTCACCATCCCCATGCTCTAGGGCACTGATGTAGCAGAGCCAGCAAGAAATTGCTGCTGCCACCTTCTTCCCCTGCAGCTTTGCCTCTTACTTCTTACAGTGCTTGCACAGCCTGCTGATGGCTGGAGTACAGAGGTTACACTGACCCTTGCAGCACTAGCATTCAATACAGGGCTGGGTTTGCTCCCTATCCCCATTCAGCCAGTGCACATCACGGTGCTTGGGGAGAGCATGCAGCAGAACGGATGGCTGGAGATCACTTTCCCACTTGTATCCTCTCAGCATCCTTGGCTGGAACATGAGTTTGGAACCAAAAGCCCCGAGAGATCCCCTTCCCACGACTTTGCTGTCCCCAGTTTTCACAGAATCACAGAACCATTTGAATTGGGAGGGACCTTTAAAGGTTCTAACTCCCTTGTCCCTTGCCATCCAATGGCCACGAGCTCCATCACCTCTAGGCAAACCAGAGGCCACCTACGTTTCTCACACACAGCTCCTCCTTTGCCCGCTGGGCAGCTGCAGGTGAACTCTTTCCCATCGTCCTCACAGGTGCCACCGTGCAGGCAGGGGTGTGAGTCGCAGGGTCGTGAGGGCTTCTTGGTGGTGCTGGGGGGCTGGCGAGTGGGCTTGCGCCGGGCGGTGGTAGGCAGGGTGGATGTGGGCCTCCTGGTGCTCACGGGTGCTGCCAGCTTGGCACTGGGGTGGCCGGCGACGTCCTGGTGCAGGACGTGGGCTGTGGTGGCAGCAGAGGCCGTGGTGTGCCTCCGTGTGGTTGCAGGCGCCATGGTGGTGGCTGTGGTGGTGGTGACGGTGGTGGTGAAGAGCCTGGGGATCCAGTCTGGAAGGCAGCAACGCGCGGGGTGAGGCTGGTGCTTTGCAGGTGTCTTTGCAAAGAGGAAAGGAGCTTGGGTTTTGGAGGGAGGCTCAGCGAGACTGCTGTGTGCACCAAAGCATGAGAGCCCTCTCCCCTAACCCAAGTGCCCAACCCAAGGGACTGGGGTTTGGCCATAGACAGACAGAGCGCTCACCAAAGTCCATGAATTTGACGTGCTCCTGTTGGGGCTTCTTCACCAGGATGGTCCTCTTCTTGGAGGCTCTGATCTGCTTCAGCAGAGCCGCCTGGACGTCAGCTGCCGTGTAGGAAGTGGCTGATCACAGCCAGGAGAAAGACAAGTGTGAAACACAGCCCCAGCAAGCAGTTTTCCCTTCACAAGCTCCCTCTGATGCATCTCAATCACTCCCTACCCCACCAGAACGCTTCCAGCCTTCCATGCACCAGCTCAGGTTGCATCTCCTCCCAGCACTTCCTGATTTTGTCAGACAAAGGGCAAATCCCTGACAAATTCCAAGGTTTGCTGGTTTCTCAGCACTGGAACAGCTCTTACCTGGGTCAAAGTGGGACTCCACAATGACACGGACAGCACTGCTCTGCCCCAGGTCTCGGACACGGATGCTCTTGAAATCTTTCTTAACGTCGGAATTTCGGAAAAGCTCATCCAGCTAACGGATTGGAGGTGGAGGAGGAAAGGCAAACAAATTGGTTAATGGGGAGATCAGGCACATGGGGTCAGGTTCCTTCAGCAAAAGGTGTTTAGGTCTCAGCGAGTCTCTTGGTTTCAACCCAGTTAGGTTTGCTTCAAAACCTCTGCAAGAAATCCCACCGACGCATGCAGAGCACGGTGCTCCTTTGGGTAGGGATAATTTGGGAAGGTCCCTATTTGTTACGGCCTGAATTCAAAGGTTAGAACAGGACCAAGGCAACGTGGGGAAAGTGCAGAGGAGATCTCCATGGAGGAGATGTGTGCAGACCAGAGACACCTTGCAGTTCATATGAGGATTTGCTATTGTGTGGCGTCTAAGTCTTACTGATCTCTTCTAAATCTGGATAAACCTGCTTATGCGCTTTGGAAAATCCCGTAAGGCTCCATTCTGCATCTCTAAGCACATGAATGCCTTCTAAAAGCTGCCTCTCAGACGCTGCAGGATTTGTCTGAAGTCACACGAAAGAGACAGTGATAGTCCAACCACTTAGACACAGTCAGGGCTTCATCACCCTGCTAGCAGCCTGCCAGCCTCGTGTGGCACCAGCACCACTGCAGCTGGTGGGCACCACTTCCTTCCCTTGGCTTCAAGGCAAAGACAGAAGAAATAACTTAAAACTGGACCCGTGCCACAGTCACCCCCATGAATTTGGGCACCGTCGTCTTAGAGGAGCAAAGGAGAGCACATCAGGTATGTGATGCCCTACGGGCCAATGCTGTGTTGTCGTTTCCCCATCCCTGGGAGAACACAACCCAGTCAAGCCTTCTGTGTCCTCAGTGGGGAGAACAGAAGACCCAGTGAATGAAGCCTCATGTGTGTGGGTTTGGATCCTCAGCTAAAAGCCACTATTGTATTGGGAAATATTGCTTTTGTGATGCAGAACTGAATGAACCATACGGTCCATATGCCAGGCACACACATCTGCTTATATGACTGTACCGAGGGCTTGCCAGCTTCTAAGTGCAGCTTGGAAGCAGCTCTAAATATGCTAATCTCCTTGCAAAGATGCTTTGTGTTTGCTGTGCCACACTGCGGGCTGTGTTACAGTGCTCTTACCCCACCAATATTTCCTTGGCACGCCTTTATGTACACATTACTACGAAAGCCCACCTGCTCCAAGAGCTGGCAATACAGGGGGCTTATCTTTAAGTGTGGGAGAGTGGATTTCCAAAAGCTGCATAGCTGAACAGGAGGAGCAAAGGGATCTGGGACACGTTTTTGCCTACGGGCTTTTCAAGGAGATGCAGGTGCTTTGGGAAATCCAAGAAATTAAAGAAGACCCTCTCATCTGAACAGCCCCATCACCAAAAAGGCCTTTTGAATCTTCATGATTCTGTGATTCTAGGAAAGCACCTGGCCCCTGTCCTAGCGGGGTGGGTGTATGGGGTCCTTTTTTCTTCCAAAGCAAGAAATGCACTAGCTGGACTTCCAGTCAAGTGCAAAGGACTCACCGCGCTCTCAATGCTCCTGGCCGTCTCCCCGAAGAGCTCTGACTTGGGGTCAGCCATCTCAGGTGTGTAAAACAGCTCCTGGCCTTCCACCTCCTCCAAGATGAGGACTCCTTGGAAGACTTTGGTAGCTGCAGGAGGGAGGGCAGACAAGACAAACTCCTTGAGTTGGCTCACGGGGATGGGGGGCAGGCATCTGGCTGACCCGTGAGGAGCGTTCGATTCCCTAGGGGGGGAAAGGGCGATGGCAGTGTGCGGGTAGTGCCAGTGTTGGGGTTAGTCTGGATGGGTCTGGGAGAGCGCCATGGAGGATTAGTATCAGAGGGTGCTGGAGCAGATGGCAAAGACCAGGCTGAAGATGGCAGCTTTTACCATACAGTTTCCTCTGAGCTCCGGCCCGGAGAGCAGCCCCCCTGCACCGGCTGAGTAACAAGAGAAAGACGTTAGCCAGAGCAGCACAGTCAACACGGTCGGATCAGACATGGGCATGCAACAGGGGCACAGCAGGGCCACGTGTGGCTGTGGGCAAGGAGAAAAACCTGTGCTGGGTGAACTGAGTAAAGATGCTGTGAGGAGGCTGGGATCAGCCTGGCAAAACTGCAGCGGGAACCCAAAGCGTGGTTCCCTTCCGGGAAAGCTTTGGGAGCTATGGAGATCCCTGCTGTCGGTAACCATGTGGTGAGTCCGTAACTTATATTCTTTTTGTGTGTTAAAAAGGGGAATGTGGTGTCCAGAACAAAGAGGGGATGACACACTGAGAGCCCAGGCCCAGGCTGGGATCAAGGCAGGGCTCACTGCCAACACTTGCCCTGCTCTGTGCCCTGCAAGGACTCCGTCCATCTCCTGGCCACCAAAACAGATGGACTCACCCGGACAGTTGCTCCCTTCTGCGTCAGCAGCCGCAGTCTTGCCATCAGAGCAGCACCCGAGCGGGGTGTTGTAGCACGTTGCCCTCTCAATGGCTGGAGTTGGGGTTACCTGGCTCTCCTCCACCTCCTCTTCCCCTGCAAGGAAGTATTAACGGGGGTAGGACCTCATTCCTGTTAGACCACGAGGCTGGGACACAGCCTCATCTCTTTCATTAAGACCCCAGGTGACCTCCCAAGCAATGCTCACCAGCAGAGCCTGCCCCGCTGGATTCCTGGTCCCCACTGATGCTCATCTCCTGGTCCCCACTGCCTTCTGCGCTGCCCGATTCAGCGAAGGCAGGCTGAGTGGTGGCCAGGACCACAGGAGAGGTGGAGAGCGGGCGGACGGTGGTCTTCAGCGCCCCATGGGTCATCCATGGTGTGGTGGCAGGTCGGGTTGTCGTGACACGCCTTGTTGTAGGGTGACTTCTTGCAGTGGGGCTGGCTTCCATCAGCAGAGAGCTAGTGGCCAGCTCGGTGGTTTCTGTAGCCCGGGTGGTCAGCTGCAGTGGTGGGGGTATGATGAGCTTGTCCAAGGGCAAGGTGGGCAGAGGGGTGGGTGGCATCGCGTGGCTCGTGTGAGTGATGGACTCTACAAGGAGCAGCAAGGGAGGGAAGTTAAGAAGGGTCTGGTCTGGGAAAGGGTGCCCATGGTGCTGGGAAGCACAGTGCAAGCCATGGGCAGGGCACGAGGAGGTGCAGGAGGCACTCACCGTGGCATTGCCCCACATGCTTCACTGTGATGAGCTGTCCCTGCCGGCACGCAATGGTCTTCAGCTGGCACTGGTCCCCATAGGTGACACCATCAGAGCCACACACCTGGGAGAAGAAATGATACAAGATATGAGTTGTATCTGTCCTCCAAAACAAGCCTCAGGCAAAATAAACCTGTCCTCAAACTGAGCAGAGCAGCTCAGAGGCATCAGTGATGCACAACGCTCTGTGTTGGGGACACTCATGGCAGGCACATTCCTGCCCCATGCACCAAAGACAGTGACCTGGTGAGCAGGAGCTGAACTCCAAGCCTGGCAGGACCAAGCTGGCCACATGTACCTGTGCCCAAAGCCCAGCTCAGTCCCTAGTGCTCCCCCAGACCTTGGTCATGTTGGCCTCTGAGCAGAGTGGGGACGGGCACTCGCAGTGGGCAAAGCCGTTGACCTCCACGCATGAGGCCCCGAACTCGCAGCTCATTTCCTCACAGGATTTTGGAGCTGATGGGTCTAGAGTAGGGAGAAAAGGGGGAAGAGATGAGCAAAACACATACCAAGCATAAAAAATAACAAAACCTAAGAGCCAACGTCAAATCCAAATCCCCCTCCTCAGGTCTCAGCTCTCCCAGGGACTCCGTAGAGCAGCATTTCTGTGTGCCACACACCTCCCCCTCACCTTTTTCACAGCCAGCCATGCCCATCTTGCTGCCATTGGGACACTGGTTGCACTTCATGCCAGTGATACCAGTCTTGCAGGAGCAGAGCCCAGTCATCTGCTCACAGTCATCACGCACTGAGCCCACCGGGTCGCAGTTACAAGCTGAGCAAGGAGGGGGAAAAAAGAAATCATTCGATTGGTGCAGTAGTGCAAATTTTGCAGCAACAGCCAGCGAATTTGGCTCACAACAGGAGCAGCATTGGGGTTCCTAGGTGGAAATGGCACAGCAACCAGCACTCACGTGTGCAGCCGCTCTTGCTGTCGGTGACGATGCCACGGAAGTTCCAGAAGCCAGGCTCACAGCGGTCACACTTGAGCCCCCCAACGCCTGGCTTGCAGGAGCACTGCCCCGTGGCAGGGTCGCAGGCTCCTCCATAGGAGCCATAGGGGTTGCACTGGCAGGTGCCTGCGAGCCAACAGAGAGCACAGGGTGAGTCCTGGCCAAGTAGGATGAATCATAAAGGTTGGAAACGGCCTCTAAGATCATCAAATCCAACCATCAACCCATCACCACTGTGCCCACCACCTCCTCCAGCTACAAGGCAGGGCTGATCTCCAGGGATTAACCCGCTTGCTCTGCTCTCATCTGCAGCTCCTCACTCACTGACATCAAAGAGAGAGGAAGCTATTAGGAGTTTATTATTAATTCATTAATTAGGAAGTTGATGGAGGGAAGTGATCCAAAGATAGATGGTGAAATGCTCCCTTAGCCCCTGGGGAGCAGTGGGAAGGGGATGTGGGTCAGAGCTGGAGAGCAAAGGAGATCCTGGGAGCAGATAGAGGCAGGGAGATGGTGAGTCCAGGGCAGGAAGCAAGAGAGAAATCTGCACTAGGGGTTCAAGTGGGGATTATCTCCTGGTGTATGCTTGTTGCCAGCACATACAGGACAGAAACCAGTGGGATACAGGATTCCATAGTGAGGAAGAAGCTCTTCCCGTGGCTGGACGATCTGTGGAACATCACTTTGACCATCACCATCAGGGTGATGCTAAAGCAAGACGCTCCACCTCCTTCCTAGAGTCCCCCTGACCCACTCCTGCCATCTCAGCCAGCTCCAGGAAGAGACGCTGGCTGAATACTGCTGCTTTTTAAATTATATGGTACATTAAGCAGCACTACATCCTCATCACACAGGCATTAGCCAGGCCCAAGCATGGCGTGAGGTGTGTCTCCATGGGGTGATGGGTTTCCCTAACAGGCAGTCACAGCCTCAGCTGTTAACAGCGTGCTAATGCCTTTCAAAATGCACCTTCTGCTGAAGTGCTGACTCTGACAATGATTTAGTAAATATTAATGACACTAGCTAGCTAACTGAGGAATTGGGACCGTCCTTTCTCTCCCCAGAGCGCAACCCCAAGCATCCCCCCCAGATGGGGACCATCACTCACTCGGGCACCCTGCTGCACCCACTCCAAGTGCCAGGGTCATGTTGTCCGGGCAGCACCCATAGATGGTCTGACTGCAGTGCACAACTGGGAGAGGCGGTGGGGTCGTGGTGAGGGCTGTGGAGCAAGGCAGAGAGGCACAGGGGCGTTATGGCCAACGCAGAGATCGAGCAGCATTTCTCAAAACCACGCTGGTCCTTGCAGAGATGCTGGGGTAGGTGATGGAGTGAGGCCCTAGCTTTGGCCAGGCATGAAACAGGAATGTCAGGGCACCAGGATGGGGACGGCACGTGCCGCAGGGACTCGCTCACCACGGCAGGCTCCTTGGCTGGTGACAAAGAGATCCTGGCGTTTTTCACACCTCGTCTTCTTCAGCTCACACTCATTGGCGTAGGTCACATCATCAGAGCCACAGACCTGTCAAGACGGCGAGGGGAGCTCTCAGAGCAGGTTCCCTGCTGATGGGATGCCCCAGGAAGCGTGTGGCAAGGCCACCAGGCTGAAGGGAGCAAGGACAGCAGCCCAGGAATGCTTCATGTGCTTACCGGGCTGTGTGGCACTGCCAGGCAGGTGAAGTCACACACACAACGGTCGTCCTCTGCATCCTCATCCCACCAGCCCCCGTAGTGCCGGCATCGGTCCTGCTCACACTCACTGCCATCACCAGAGCCTGAGCCTCCTGAGCCACATTCTGGATGGAGGAGAAGCGTGGTGAGAGGGGACCAGGGAAAAGCAGATGGCCCAAGCAGGGCCGCCTTGCCCAGGAGCATGTCAGACAGCTCCTGGGTATCTCCAGCATGAATATCTCCTGGGCCGACATGCCATAGAATCACAGAATGGCGTGGGTTGGAAGAGACCTTAAAGATCATCCAGTTCCATCCCCCCTGCTGTGGGCAGGGTTGTTAACCATCGGATCAGGTTGCCCATATGTTAGGATGCTCCCGCCTGTACCGCAGAGAGGATCCCCTCCCCTGCAGTAGGCAAGCTCTCCCATCACTACAATAATAAGTTAAGCAATGCAAAAGGCATAGGGATGCCTTAGGAGCTGACCGGAGGCCTTCTTGCCCAGCCTATAAATGCTGTGCTCTGCCTGCCTGCCTCTCTATAAGGTGCCCAGAGCTCCAGCAGCAAGAATAGAGATGTTGCTGATTTCAAAGGCTCCTTTAATTAAAAGGATAAAAAAAAAAAAAAAAGGGGGAGAAAAAAAAAGAGAAGCAAAAAAGGAAAACCTGCCCCTTTTTATTGAGTGATCAAAGGCTGGGAGTTGGCATTACACAGAGAATTATTTAAGATCTTTTCCCAGAGGGACATCAACCTGAAATTCCCAAAGGAGGGCTGTGATCAAACACCGTGTTCTGCCTTGCCCTATCCCCGAGCTCTGCCACATAATGACATCCTTCCCAGCACAGCGAGCTGGGGAATGGCAGCATCACAGCAGTGAGGTTTGGGGGAGGTCTGTGCTCTCAGCCTGCATTAACCCATGGCTTCACCTCATAGAGATGGGAGCTCAGGAGGCTCTTGGTGTCTGACCACCAGCAAGGCAAGGCTGAGAGGTCCCAGCCTGCTTCCAGAGGGATGCTGAGCTGCTTTACCTAAGTACCTAAAGATAATTAAAAGATGCTATTGAGGAGAGTGGGATCATGGCTAGCAATGGGGGATGCTGCATCCTACAGATGAGCGCCCCCCTCCCCAACACTCTGGAAAGGGTCAGGAAGAGCAGCCTCGTGCTGCCCAGATCCATTGGCGCTGTTCCTGCCGACAGAGCCAAGTGGGAACCATGAGGGAGCAGCACCATGGAACAACCCTGGGCATCCTCATGGAGCATCTCCACCCAGAGCAACCCCTGGGCACCTCAACCACTTCCCTTCCTCCAGAATAAGTGGAACATAAGGCATGCAATTCACGCAGCAATGCAACTCCCTGCCCAGGTGGCATCAGCCAAGGGAAGAGCAACAACAACCCACCGTCCTCACAAGGCCCCATCTTGGCCACCTCGATGCTCTTCTGCTGCTGGCAGGAGGCTGCTCGGAGCTCGCAGCGGTTGTCATAGGTGAGGCCATCGGTGCCACAGACCTGGGCCAGGGGCTGCTGCTCACAGCGGGGACACACGCACTGCCCACCCACACAGGTGCTGCCGAAGGAGCACACCGTGCTGCCGCAGGATTCTGCAGGGACACCAGCAAGAAATTCCATTTACTCTCATTCCGGCTCCTGAGAGTCGCTCCCCATCACTCTTTTCTCCCAGTTTTAGAGAGGATACCCATGCACTGCTCAGCCCTGGAACACCAGACCAGCTGGACTGGTTTTATGGGGCACAAATGTCATTTGTTCTAACGACAAAAAAAAAAAAAAACTGAGGCAAGGCTTTTAATTCATTGAGAAATCAGCACAGAGGGTTTCCTGTGCTGAGAACACACACAAGCAGGGAGGAATCACCCCCTGGGGATGGAACCCCTCCCATTTTGATGGCAGCCCACTTCCTTTGCCTCACACATCCCCACCCTCAGGTTACTCCGGTGCCTCCCCCAGCACACAAACACCCCCAGGGCCTCGAAGGGCCCCGGGTGAACAGGGGGATGCCGAGCATCCGCTCCTCAAAACGCCACCGAAAGGAGCAAGAAGAGGGAAGAAGGGGACCTTGCCAGACTCACTGCAGTCGCCTTGGGCAGCCACCAAAATGTTCTTCTGCTGCGTGCACGCTCGGACGTGGAGCTCACACTCGCTGCTGTAGGTGTTGCCATCTGTGCCACAGACGGGCTGGGAGGAGGGCACACACTCCGTGGGGCACACGCACCGCCCCGTCTCTGCTTCACAGATGGCCCCAAACTGACACTTGCCACAGCGGTCTGCAGGGGCGAGGAACAAAAAAGCAGTGGGTTAAATCAGCAGGGCGAGCATTGCTTTGTATGGAAGTGCCAGAGCTGAAATCTAACCCTGCTGCAACCTCATCCCTTGTGCTAAGCCCTGCAGGACCGGAGCTCCAGCGGAGGCGAGGCTGCAGGAGGGAGGAGAGAGACTGCATGGCAATAACTGCTTGTAAAAGCCATCAGGGCCAGGAGTAATTGCAATAAAATGTCACTGGAGCTGTGAGCTGTTACAGCTAAATGGGATGCAGAGAGTGTGAGGCTGAGTGTTGTTATGGGGAGCAATAAATCAGTGCCGGCCACAGGAGGATGAGCGCAGCACTGGGTGCAAAGCACCTGCTGCCCAGCCTGAAGATTTAAGGGCAGAACAGCAGTATTTGGGCGAAACTGCAAGAGCCCAGCAGATTGCACAAAGGAGCACGAGCAACCAGCTTGGGCTGTGCCTGTGTGCAAACACTTCCCGCCTGGCAAAGCTGTGCTGGCACAAGCAGTGAGCCTGCAGATGGGAGAGCTGCACACGGCTCTGAGTTGCGTTTGCACTGAGGGCTCATGTTAAGAAAGAAAACCTCCGCAGGAGAGATCACCGCATCCGTGCCAGGCAGCGTCCCCCCGGGGTAAGGATGCACAGCAGTGCTGCACTCCCCTCCCTCCCTTCGCATGGCATCTGAGCAGCCCCACCACGAGCACCAGGCTGGCTGTCTCCTTACCGCAGGGCCCCTTGTGCTTCACCCTGATCTCTCTCTTGAGGACGCAGGCCATGGCGTTGAGCTCGCAGGGGTTGCCATAGGTGCGGTTGTCGCTGCCGCAGACGGGGTCATAGCGGCCCTGGCACACCTGCTGGCATTCGCACACGGGCTCCCGGTTCTTCACCACGCAGGTGGCCCCAAAAGTACACTCCACGCTCAGGCAGGGGCTGGGAGTACCCAGGTCTGCAGAGGGGGCATAGGAAATGGGTGGCAGGGTGAGCTCGCTGCCTGCTGAGCATCCCCAGGCACGGTGCACAGCGAGGCATGCCGGCGGCTGCAGCCTGCCTCCCCCAAGCCGTGGCAATGCACAGAGCTCCTGGCCTTGCATCATCCCCTACCCCCCAGCGTAGCATCTCCCCCATGCTCAGCGGAGGTTTGGGTTGGGAAGCAGGCACGAGATCTCCTCCCTGCACGCTTGTTCCTCTGTCCCGTGCACCTCATGGGACTCTGATCAGCCCATAGTTTTTGTACAGATTTCTGCAAAAAGCCCCGTTTTTGGGTTCCCAGCCAACACCACAAGGCATCGTACTGATGGAGGACAACTTTCCTTTGCCAGAAGCCCACACCTCTCATCCCATGCAGCAGCGATGCCACCAGCCTCTGACAATGGAAATGATGCCTGGCTTCACCACACCCTGTGACTTCCCCTCCTGGTGGGGCAGGATGAAGAGAGCCACTGTCTTTACTTCATCCCAGTGCTCCAGCACCTGGCTCGGGGAGCAGAGCCCTGAGGATGCCCCACTGCATGGGCTGCGGGCTGAGAGGCAGCCATGCCCTCTGCTCTCTTAATGGAGCTACTCCATCAAAGTCAGCCGAGCAGCTGGCATCCTTCCCCACAAGATGCCCAGTAGTGAGAAGGTGAGCAGCCAACCCTTCTGGTGGCTGGCAGCAAAAAGGCAATGCTGAGCCTCCTGGCAGAGTTCTGCAAGGCTCTGGGGGAAATCCCCCGTGTCCCATTTACCCTTCATCCACCGTAGGCAGCCAAAAGCCAGCAGTGCCCCAGCACTGCCCAGAGACCCATTCCTGTGATTCATCACAAAAGCCCCGAGGACCCAGAGCAAGGAAAGGACATCAATGTAACACATGCTGGACACGGACAAGGACACATCAACAAGAAGGATGTGGGAACAGACAGAGTGGCTGAGTTGAGATGGATGCAGCAGAAGATGCAGCACAGCCCCAGTGGGCAGCACAGGGGGTGGGAAGGGGCAATGCTCTGCCTTCCTCCCCTGCAAGGACCAATGTGATGCAGCTGCAGAACGGGATCAAAGCTTGAGCCCTCAGGAGCTTGGCTGCACGCTGTGAACCAACGAGAGAACAGTCCAAAACTTGGGCATAAACAGGTCTGAATTTGGGGTCTGGCCCTTTGGGAAGTCCCTGCCAACTCAAAGCTCAGAGCCAAGAGGCTGCAAAGGAACAGAAGAGCAATTGAGACACGTGGTTACTGCTCTCACCCGGCCCTTCCCTGCCTGTCCTCAATTTCCCTGCGGCTGAAGGGTTTACAAGCAGCTCCCAAGGAGCAGGAACTGCTCCCCACGGTGCTTCGCCCTGCGGTGCTGCTCACATCTCCTGCTTGTGTTCAACACAAAACACAACACACGTACCATAACCATATCCCCAAACACACAGAGGCAGCATGCTTGTATGGAGAGAGAAACCCAAAATGCAGCCCTGGGCACCTGCAGAAGTCAGTGGGGGGTTTTGGCACCAATTTTGATGAGTGGATATAATGAGGAGAGAGCAAGCAAGGACCTTTGGCTATGCTATAATCAAGCCCTGCTGTCATCCCTTCTCCATCCTGCAGGCAGGGAAACTGAGGCATGGAAGAAGCACACTGCTTGTTATGCATCCTGGCTGATGCAAGGGCTGGGGAAGCAGGAGGCAGGGAAGGGAGCGGGTTAGTCAGGGGTGAAAGGAGAGGTGAGAGCAACTGGGAGCAGTCCAGAGGTATCGGCTCACAGAGGAGTGGGGTCTCGTACCACCCACCTCTGCTCCCACTCTCATCTGCCTCTAAGGATCAAGGCACAGTCAGCATCCTCCATTCCGGCATGAAGCGTGCGGGTCAAGGGGATGGGAGCAGAACAGGGGAAACCTCTCTGTTCCAGGACTCTTAAGGAAAACTGGAGAGGAAGGGAGCAATGGGGAGAGGCCAGGGCTGGCACTGGCTATGGAGAAGGGGAGAAAGCCGACCTCCTAGCAGAGATGTCCAGGTAGGGAGTAGAAGGGTGCTGCGAGGACACAACTCCTTCCTCCAAACAGGCAACACTGTAAAACACAAGACAGACGAAAAAGGAAAGAGAGAGAGAGAGCGGAGGGGGAGAGAAAGAGAGCAAAAAGAGGCAGGGAGGAAAAGACAGATGCAACTACAGCCACCTTCCCTCCACCTCCTGGCATGTCATCCCAGCCCTCCTTTCTCAGCTGTCCCATCGTGGTATGAAAGCAGAGAAAGATTAAAAACAGGGTCTGAGCTGTTTTGTTGGGCTTTGCCTCCTTTGCCCTGCTGCTGGAAAAGAGCCGTGTGCGAGGTTAAAATGTTGCTGCTGTGTTCACAGCCTGCCCTCTGGAAAGCACTGACCCAGAGGGAGAGGAGCTGAGAGGGGGGATGAAATAACAGAGAATACGACGGAGAGGGGATGGACAGGTGCACAGGGAGCATATCCCACTGTGCTCACTTCATGGGTGCAGTGGGAAGGATGGCAGCCTGGCAGCAGGGCAGCTCCCAGCAATAGCTCTCCGCTTGCCCTGGAAATTTGGGATGCCATGGGAAATTTGGTCCTTGATCGTCCCCATCCTCCTCTTCCTCCCACATCCAGGGCAGCTGGCATCCCCAGCAGCTTCCAGGGACACAGGAGGTGAAGGACTGAGAAGTGCTTTTCCTGCCCAGAAAGGACTTGGGGATCTGACTCGTTATCATCCAGCAGCCAGAAGCACACTGAAGTGGGTGATTAAAAATAACAGTTGTCATTATATTAAGTGTGATTTTGGGAGCCTGACAAATGATTTTCCAGCAGCTGAGCCTGGCAGGATTAAAACCTACCGCAGGAGCACAAAACCAACCCAACAAACCCAATGCACCAGGCTGAATTTCCAAGCATTTCAGAAGGTCTGAAGCACCCAACAACCTTATAAAACATCAGCTTAAAACAGGACACAGCTCTGTGCCTCCAGTAAAAACAAATCCAAGCTGAAACAACCGTCCTCCAACTCAATTCAATGACTGCGTTCAACTTCCTTCAGGTGCCATGCAGTCATTTTAAGACGGAATGTTCCCAACATCCCAAGGACCCCTTCTGGCACATACAAAAGCTTCTCCCAGAGATGAGACAAAGCCACGGCGAGTCCTCTGGAGAGCGTTCCTGCTGGAGGACCTGGAGCTGAGAGAGGGGTGGGCATGGAAGGGAAGCATGGCAGGAGCAGGGGCTGGCACTACCCTGGGAGGGGAATGAGTGGTGATGGAGAGGAGCTGATGGGCATCACAGCTATGTCACGTGCTCAACACACATGGTTGCTCCCCACTGTAGCGAGAACATCAGACAGAGACAAGACACAGACATACATAAGACTGTTGACTGCTGGAAGGAAAAAGAGCACGAGGAGCAGGCACTGGGTTGGCTGTGAAACTGAGATCCTGGGGCTCGCTGCGAGGTGGGAACCCAACCACCACTTACCTGCGGGCTTCCCAGCTGAGCCTGCGTGGGACGGACGCAGGCTGGGTGCAAGAGGAGGAGAGGTGCAGGCTTACCACAGGGTCCGCTGTGCTTCACTGGGATGGCAGTTTTCTGGTGGCACTCGGCTTTCTGCCGCTCGCAGTCGTTGCTGTAGGTGCGGCTGTCGCGGGCGCAGACGGGCCGGTAGGCGCCATCGCAAGCGATGCGGTCGCAGGAGCAGCGCGCCGCGCCACGGCGGTTCAGGCAGACAGCATTGAACTTGCATTCATCTTTGCATTTGTCTGGGAAAGGAATAGAGAGATGCGTCGCATCCCCGGCGATGCGTCCCTCAGAACATCACAGAATCGCAGAATTGTAGGGGGTGGAAGGGACCTCCAGAGCTCATCGAGTCCAACCCCCCTGCCAAAGCAGGTTCCCTACAGCAGGTCGCACAGGTCGGCATCCAGGCAGGTCTTGAACATCTCCAGAGCAGGAGACTCCACCACCTCCCTGGGCAGCCTGTTCCAGTGCTCCGTCACCTCACTGTAAAGAAGTTCTTGTGCATATTTGTGCAGAACTTCCTGTGCTGCAGTTTCCAGCCGTTTCCCCTTGTCCTGTCTCCACTCACCACTGAAAAGAGTCCGGCCTCGCCATTCTGCCCCCCACACCTCAGATATTTATAGACCTGGATCAGGTCCCCTCTCAGCCTTCTTTTCTCAAGGCTGAACAGACCCAGTTCACTCAGCCTTTCCTCATAGCAGAGATGCTCCAGGCCCCTCACCATCTTTGTGGCCCTCCGCTGGACTCTTTCCAAGAGATCCCTGTCTTTTTTGTACTGGGGAGCCCAGAACTGGACGCAGTGCTCCAGATGAGGCCTCACCAGGGCAGAGTAGAGAGGGAGGATCACCTCCCTCGACCTGAAAGGGACGCTCTCCTTTCTGTGAGCGTAGAGGAAAAAAAACAAACAAAAACAGGAGGTTTTTCAAAACTCACCCTGGTGCTGGCACTGCCCGGAGCGAACCTTCTGGATCTCCAGCCCCCGGATGGCCCCCGTGCGCCCCATCACACACTCGCTGGCGTACGTCACCCCGTCGTCACCGCACACCGGCTCCCGTTTCGAGGGACAGTTCTCGGGGCGGGAGAGCAGCTCCACCCGGCGCGTGCGGGGATTCACCCGGCACACGCGGTTCATGTCGTTGAGGATGCCCTTACAGGGGTCTAATAGAGCAACGGGAGGAGGAGAGAGGAGTCAGCGGACATCCTGCCTAGGCAGCGCTTGCAAATCACACTGTTCCACTCTTTGTGTCCCCGTCTGGGCTCAGGGGGTGCTGGGCCCCTCCTTTAGGACTGACTCGTATCGCAGAGCTGCTTGCCCTTTCCAAGGCAACCAGCAGATAGGAGGAGCACTTTATTTTTCCGAGCGTTTCCACTCTTTAATCCTGCTATCTGAAATCCCTGCATTTACCAGAGAGTCGGGCTGACAAAGAGAAGCAACGATGCCATCCCTTCCTGAAAGAGGGAGGAGGCTGCAGTGGACAGGGCTGCAGATGAAGCCTTTTGCTTTGCCTATCTCAGCACGTGCAGCAATCATGGAAATGAAGGAGCTCCCGCAGGACCTGCCCTATCCATCTCCTGTTTCCCTTCTGGCAAATGCTGCCAGGGCTCACTGCTGTTCTGAATCGCAGCAGGGATGTGTAACCCCTGCTGAGACCTCTACAAACCCAACAAAATCACCAGAATGCTTTGTGTAGAGCCAAAACGCTGCAGGTAAGTGAGGGATGTGGTCTGGCTGAGGAGATGAGGCAACACGGTGGGGTGGGGAGCTGCACAGACATCATCCTGGGGACTGCACAGCATTTCAGATATCTCTGAGTGCTGCCCAAAGCCTCCCCTCTGCCCTAGAAAAGAGGAGCACCCAACATGACGCTCCTGACCTGTGCCCATCTCACCCCACTTGGGGCTGAGTGGCGAACGCACAACTCATTCTCTTCCAGCTCTGCAGCCTTCCCAAGCACGCTCTCACACTCCTTCCCCCAGGGACAAACAGGGGCCTGGCACGTGTCCTGGCTGATCTCATGGCTTTCCTAATGAATACAGTTGCTTTTAATTACAAGCATCCACAGTCATCACAAGACATCCTTGGAGTGGCTGAGCTTTTCCCCCCCAGCCCTTCCCATTTCCACTTGTCCCGACGCAAGAAACACTTGCCACACGACACCCACTGGGGACCAGGGCACTCACCACAGGCTCCATCAAACTTCTTGAAGACGTTCTCCTGCTTGTCACAGGCGTGCTTGTTGAGGTCACACTCGCTGCGGTAGTCCTTGCCGTCGCTGCCGCAGACGATGCTCTCTGCCACCCCGCTGCAGGATGCAGGGCACACGCACCTGGCCGTCTGGCCGTCTGCAGAACGGACGCATGTGCTGCCAAAGCTGCACGTCACCTCTGCACAGGGGTCCTTGGAGCCTGAGGAGAGGGTGCATAGTGAAAGCGCTGCCTCCAGCAGCAGCGGTGACCCAGCACCATCCTGCCCTTGGCTTCGGCGGGCGCTGCCGTCCACTGCTGATGTTGAAGCAGCCAGTTGCATGCAACCCAAAGTGTGCAAAACTCAGCCTTAACCACAGTGCGTGGGGAAGGGGAGCTCCCCCCACCCTGGCTGCACCTCCCGGCTCCTCACTGCCAGCATCTCTTTAAGCAGAACGAGGGTCCTTAAGGCACCTCCTGCAAACTGTAATTAGAGGAAAAGCTTAAGGAGCAATTTCCTCTCTGACAGGGCAGGGCTATGGTGTATTTGCCAGCTTTTTTTTTTTTTTTTTTTCCCCCCTTCTTAATTTGTCACTTTTTTATGATGATTATTTTAAATAAGTCACTCGGCGCTCTCCCCTCTCTGCTGAAAGCCCCAGCAGGGGAGCCGGGTGCAGATTTATTGCAAGCCAGCGCACTGCATGCGAGAAAGGTCAAGTTAATTTACTCTGAGACGAGGAGACTGGGTCTCATTTACACAGCTCCTTGCTCCCAGCTGGTGAATGCCAGGCTGGGGAAGGGCTTTCATCAGCCCATCCTGCCTGTGCTTGCAGCCGCAGGGCTGAGTCACGGTGGGGAAGTGGAGATGGATGAGAGGGGGCTGCTCCCCCGAGTCTGCCCTGCATCTCCGCAAAGCCCTCAGGCCATCAGCCTGCCTGCTTATTATTAAGCACTGCTGGTGGTTCTCTCCTTGTCCCTTCCCGTCAGCTTTGTCCTCGGAGCATCGCCAGCCCCAGACGATGCTGTGGGATCTGGAGGAGCACCCCCAGCCTTGCACATCCATCTGCAAGAGGGGACGCAGCCCCGGTTTGTGCTCACCGCATGGTCCCTTGCTGATGACCTTGATCCGCCTCTGCTGGTTGCACTGGGCTTTCTCCAGCTCACACTCGTTGCTGTAGGTGGAATAGTCGGAGCCGCAGACAGGAGCCACCACCACAGGGCAAGCTGTCTTCTTGCAGACACAGAAGGCTTGGGAGGGGTCGGTGGGGCTGCGCTCGCACACCGCCCCAAACCCACACAGCATCCCTCGGCAGGCTGGAGACAGAGATAGGGGACACCTGAGCCACGGGACACCCGAGACAGGGGGCAGAGCCTGGCTCGGGGGGCTGCAGCTCACAAAGTTTCAGTGGTAGAGGACGATGGCACAGGGAGGAGGAGGGTGCCATCTTCAGATGTCACCTTGTCAACTGGTAGGAGAAAGGAGAACCAAGGAACGGTCCCCGCGTGGGACAGGTCGTCCCGCACACGCCGCTTTATTCGTTGTCATTTATGCAAAGCAACTGAATCACGTGGCTGGAGGCCCTCCAGGAGGAGATGCTCGAATCTCTTTATCGCATCCACTAATCAGAGCAGCCAGCACAGACCAGTTCAGCATCTGAATTGCTAATGCAGGAAGGAATGCAAATTTTACATTCAGGGGAGGAATGGACAGGATGGATGTCCCCAAACTCAGCTGACGCAGGTGAGACAGAGGGAGCAAGAGATGCTGGAGCTTTCTGCCAGTGCCGGGCAGCCTGTGTGTCTCACCACCGCGTACACAGCGTACATTAGAGATAGAGATTGACCTACATAATGGCAGAACAAGAAATCATAAAAGGCAAAATAAAATGAGCTCGACAGTGGCTCATTTACACTTCAATTCCCGGGCGTTTGCCTTGGACTGCCTTGAGATTTCGAGCTCATATGCACAGCAACAATGTGCCACTAAGAGACTAATATCATCAAATAAAAAAGAACTCTCTTTCTCTCCTGCCCAATATCTAAAAGCAATTTATCATTTTTACGAAGCGCTCTGGATAGTCTCTCCTGCTCTTTCATTGCTGCTCTTTCTCTCCCTCTTCCGTTCTTACAACTGCTGATAAGCCTGTTGAGCTTTGAGATTAGAGGATGCAGGGGAGGATGGTAAGCAAGGAATGGGAACAGCAGGACAAGTGGTGACTCCTCCGTCCCCTTCCCGTGGCGCTGGGTGTGCAGAGCAGGAAAACACCAGAGGGCAAAGAGGCCCCTTCCCATAGACCCAGGCCACGAGTTTTGCACAGCAAGTCACAGAACTGTAGAATTATTCGAGTTGGAAGGGGCCTTTAAAGGTCACCCAGTCCAGCTCATGCATCCGTCTCGCTTTGCCCTCCATGCCTGCAGCCAACTGGACAACAACGCCAGTTAAGCCAAAACTCCACGAGTGGTCTTGACCCATCTCCAAGGGAATTTTTAACACGGTTGTTCAGATCTGGTGCCACGCTTGGTTGGACCACTTTTAAAGCAACCTGCTTTGTACTCGTGTTGCCCGCTGTATTTGAGAATGTCTCAATTTCAAGTGGTAAAAGAAATGGCAAATGACAAAAAGGCAACAAGGCATTGCAAAGTTAAATGAGTCAGGCTACATAATGAACACGGGTATTTTATCAGAATTGAAGTCTGTCTGTTCTTCTGTCTAGAACTCCGTAAACACACCAGGAATATCAGAGGCCACCATACAAACAAAAGACATAGTGAAGAACATCCATTTATCTCCAGGCACAAAGAGGAAGGTAAATATCCCAGCAAGCTCCATCAGTGCACAGCATGGGCAGCCAGGCACACAGGGGATAAGGACCCTGCATCACTGATCAGTCCAAGAAGCAAAGCAAGATGCACAAACACTTCAAACCAGAAACAAACTGTGACAGGCAAATTGCCTGTTTAAGTTCCTTTCACTTCTAATCACCACCATTGCTACCAGTGAGGAAGCCTATTTGTTTCCAGCAGATGGATTTAAACCTCACCCACCCCACGCTGAGGTGCGTTTGGATGATATAAGCTCAGAACCCATCAGAATAAAACCAACTGCCTTAATTCCCCTGCCAGACGCGGGAGGTGGAACAGACTGAGATTCAGAGGCAGCCTCCTCCTTCCCAAGCACCTCTCTAATTTTATCTGGGAGGATGCAAGAAGCGTGACCATAACTGATGTGAGAGGAGGAAGAGTGGGAAATCAAGCACCCCATGCCTGCTCCCCAGCTCACTAAAAGAAATGCCTTGGCTCATTGATATGCAAAAGAATCTAAATGATAACAATCACCAGGTCCCTGGTGTCAATAGGTAAACAGCTCAACATAAGCAGCAGGGATAAGTAACAAGCTGGCTTTGTCAAATGCTTCGAGATCTCGAGGTAAAAAGCTCTACCTAATAAGCCCAAAGCATTCACGTTAGTTATGATCGTTGCCATTACAGAGAAGAAACGTCCCAATACCCAAATCCCAAACTAAATAAATAAAAAACAACACTGGAGCTGCATCATGAAGCAGATTGCCTCTTCACCTCGGGGCCACAGGGGGCTGCGTCTCACCTACCACCATTCCCACCTTCTCCCCAAGGATGGGGAGCTCACCGGTGGGCTTCAGCGGTGGCTTGTCATGTCCCAAATACAGCCATCACAGCTGGATCCCTCTGTGAAAGTGGTGAAGCCAGCACCATGGGGCAGTCAGGAAGCTGGTTGTGGTGGGCAGCACTCCTGGAGGAAGGGCAAATTTCTTCATGGAGAGGGTATGGATGAGCGAATTTCTTCATGGAAAAGGCAAGGATGGGGGAATTTCTTCGTGGAAAAGGCAAGGATGGGGGAATTTCTTCATGTAAAGGGTATGGATGAGCGAATTTCTTCTTGAAAGGGGTAAGGATAAGTTACTTTTTTCGTGGAAGGGGTAAGGATGAGCAAATTTCATCATGGAAAGGGTAACGATGACCAAATTTCTTCATGGAGAGAATAAAGATGGGCAAACCTCTTCATGCCAAGGGTGAGGAGTGAATTTCTTCCATGGAAAGGGAGCAGGCGTGTAAATTTCTTCACAAAATAGTACAGATGAGCAAATTTCTTCATGGAAAGGGTAAGGATGAGCACAAGAGGACGGCTGAGCCTTGCAATGTCTACCCGAGGCAGCGGTACCCCAGCCCTGAGGCATTTCGGACACATGGATGCGGCACAAACGGATGCGGCTCAGTGATGACATTCAGCAAGCCAGGCTGGCAGTAGGGCTTGGTGATCCTGGAGGCTTTTCTCAACCTCAACCATCAGGCCGAGGAGCAGCGGTGCATCAGGACAGCGCGGCTGACATGAATTCTGCATGAGCCTGATGCGCGTTGCCATGGAGACGCGCGAGGCCCGCGCTCCCGCCGAGGCCCGTCTGAGCGCATCGCCTGCTCCGGGCCCACCCTCCTTGCCATCAATATTAATTACTTGCTTGGCGAGACAGCGGAGCCGCCTGCCCCATCACCACAGCACGACAACATTCACACCGCCCAGAATTGGCAGGGCTGTGCTTAACCCAGCGGGTCTGGGCTCTGAGATGGGGCTGGCAGGCAGCATCACCCATGCTGAACGCCTATGATGCTCTAGGGTGCAACCCTACCGGCCACAGCCTTCCCCGGCCTCAGCCACGGGAAGCCCCTTGAAGCTCCCCATCCTAAAACCCATCCCATCCCTTCCTAAAACCACCAGAAGCCGAATCTGAGCGAAGCACCTCAGCCCCAGCTCCCACCTGGAGCACACGGGCAGCAGAACAGGGCTGCCTTCGTGTTTCTGTAATTAAGAGGAGCGAAAGCCCATCGTTTGGAAGATCTGAAAGCAAAATCTTGTGCTGGAGGCGGTGGTGAGCAAGGTGAAGGTGGTGCCGGGGGCGGACAGGGCAGAGGGAGGTGAAAGCATCACCTCCTTGGGCTCTGAGACATCAAAGCTGCTCTTGCGAATCAAACACCATCTTAAAAGGCTCCCTCATTAATCTGTCAGAGCCCCGCTGTGAGCGTGGCTTGCAGCAAGATGTCGTGGCTCCAAATCACTGGGAGGATTCATCAGAGAGGGGAGCGTGATGGGAAGGAGCCCCAGCAGCGGGGTTCTGCCTGACCCAGTGCCCTGAGAGCACACAGGCTCCCCTGGGGAGCAGGCTCTGCCCCAGCACAGCAGCAAAACCCAAAGCTTGATGGCAGCCAGTGCCCGCCCAGCTGGGATGCAGCCTGCACCAAGAGGCGAGGGGAAAACACCCATGCATCATTCCAAGCTTCTCCCACCAGCTCTGTACTGCAGAGCGGGGTGTTTACAAAGCAGGAAGATGAGGAGCAGCCAGCTGGGTGCCCGCAGGGAACACAGCTCCTCCCCAGCTGCAGCGGGTCCGTAGCCCATCCCCATCTGTGCTGACAGGCCAACACAGCACGCTGCCCTTTGCTGCCCTTTCCCAAGGCTGCAGGCTCCGGCAGAGCCTTTCTGCAAGGTTTGCTCATGCTGGCTGCAAGGATCTCACCCAAACCTCAAGTGTGGCATCCAGCTGGCTGCCCACAAGCATCCCCCTGCACACCTACAGCTTCTGCTCTTGACAAACACCTCTCCATCACCAAAACAGTGAGGCTGTGCCACCGTGACACTGGGACACACTCCGACAAAAGCAGCATTCACTGGTCAGCACAACCTCTTGCAAAGCACAGAGCCTGGCAGTGTTTCCTAAGCTGGGAGCTTGCAGTGATGCAAGCTTCATGCAACAACTTCAGTACAGCACGGCCAAGGGGAAGAAAAGATAGAGTCCTTTTTGATGCTGCTGCTTTGTCACAAGGCTCCAATGCTAAATGCCTTGCCTTGAGAGACATGGGGCACAGATGTGGGGGCAACCAGGTAAGGCTCAAAGACTGCAATCTCATCAAGGACTTTATGCACGGAAAAGCAGGAACACCTTTGCAGGTCCCCCATCTGCTTCTCCTCTAACACTTAAGCCACATAACATGAAAGAACATAAATTGATCCCCAAGAGAAAGCTCAAGCCTCACTGTAAATGGAGAGGAAAATGCTCTCAAGAGATCAAAAGTGGTGTCTAATAACTGCTGCTACCTTATCTACTGCTCAGCTTTTTTTGAAGAGCTATGTTTAGCTTCTCTCCTCTCTCCAGAGCAACCCTGCGCCACTCCAAACTGGCTCAGCCACCAGCAGAGCCCTGCTGTTCCAAAGGGATGGTTCAGCTCTTCTCTTCCCATCCCCTCCCTCTCCTCCACACTGAGCAGGTAAAGAACACCAGTGCTCCAACATGGGCCACGAATCTCCCCCTGCTCCCCATCACACCAAGGATGGAAGACCTTCCCCTGCTCCCAGCTGGGATCAGCCCCGCTGCCAATTCATTCTGTGGGATCCAAGTCTCACATTGGCTCCCGTCAAAAGAGGACTAGGTTAGGATTAGCAGCCAAAACCAGCAGGGTGTTCCAGTGCTGCCAGGCACAAAGGGAATAGGATTGAAGAGACTGTTTTATTTTAAGTTATATTTGTATGGCTTGTCTCCCAGGCTAGCTGAGCATTTCCTTCCCTGTCCCCTTGAGCAGGTGCAGAACTGCCTGGAGAGCCACCTGCCTCTGAGAAAAGAGGAGTTCAAGGCTTTATCCCCATGCCTGACCATACCTTAGGGCAAGGCAAAGCCAGCCCACAGCCAAGGCTCTTTTACAGCCCTCCTTTTACAGCCTCCCACCAGCCAAGGGCCCTGCACCTGCACCAGTGAGTTCCAGTGCAAGTGGAGGTGACACTAGGTGACAAGTGATAGGACACGAGGAAGCAGTTTCAGGCTGCACCAGGGGAGTTTAGACAGAACATAAGGAAGGACCTCATGGAGACAATGGCTGAGCATTGCAAAGGGTTCCAGTGCCCGGGGCAGTGATGAAGACCCTGTGCACAGAGGAACTGCAGAGCAACCAAGGGGAGGTGAGCATCTGATGTGACTTCCAAGCCCAAAGCAATTATTTCCCAACATCTCTTCTCCAGAGCCAGAAGAAGACAATATCCAGGATTGAGAGCACTAACCAGCTGATTGCCTAAGCCAGTACAGAAAGCCACCTGCACCAGCATTTCCCTGCCTAGCTCCATGTCTGGGACCAGTCAAGCTCCGCTCTGCAAACCCTGTATTTATGTCCCCATCTCATGTGTCAGTGCTGCTTTTATGCATCCATAAATAAGCATCAAGAGCTGCTTCCAGGCCTGGCATGTTGGGCCAACATCACTCCATCCTCAGTCGCCAAAACAAAATGGGTGTTCAACCCTTTCTGCCTTCTGGGATGTATCCAAGCCTAACAGGGGTGGGAGCTGAGCCTTTCCCATAGCTGGTCGGTACCATAAGCAAACTACCAGCAAGAGATGGCACCTAAAGCAAGCCATCACAGCTTTCCCATCCACAACAGCTCCATCTTATTCTTCACTGGAACGGGAGCAGAGCGTGCACGGGCATGGTGCGAGCACAGCAAACACAAACCTCCACATCTCCTGCATGCGACTCCACCGAGGGATGCTGCAAACAAACAGAGCTCCAACCACTCATCACAGACGCTGGAAGAACACCCACTGAATCCTCCCTCTCGGTTCATCTCGCTCCAGGGGGGGCAGAAAGGTGCAGCCCACCCTGTGCTACACCTGCCCAAGCAGTGCTGCCCTGGGGGGGGGCATGGGAGGTGTTTGCAGCACCTGGAGGAGGCACCTTGCCTGGCGCAGCACCAACCGTGGTACTTTTCCATCTCCCATGGGGACCAGAGATCTTTGGGAGTATGTCATCTGGATGGGCAGGGCTGCTCATATTTTGGAGCCCTAAGCTAGGAGTTACACCTACGTTCGTTTTTATTTTTGCTTTAGATATCTTCTCTGGTCCAATTATAGATTAATCACATTTTATCTAGCATCCGTTTCTCCCCCGCCTCCTTCCCCACCCCCCATCAGAGAAGCAAAGAAAGAAACAAACGTGTTATTAATTGGCTGCAGTTTTTCTGCTGGGTTCTTCTCTGTGCACATGAGATGAGGGAGGATGGGGAAGGTGGCTGGGGAAGGAGCCTGCCAGCAGAAAGCAGGGCAGTAGAAGCCTGATTTTCAAAGAAAACACAGCTCGTATGATGACATTATCTGAGCACATGCTTGCCTGCCAGCAGCTTTTAAACCCATTGGCTGCCAGAAAGCGAAGTTCTACAAACGTGTGGCTCTGGCATGGCCACATGCCACAGGTACATGTGCCACTTGCTTTGCTTTTTGCTCCTTGCCTGCAGAATTTCTGCACCTCCATCTTCCCAGTTCCTTTTCCCAAAATCCACACGGCACAGCCACTGAGCTCAGCGCTGCTGCTTTCTAAGGTCCCTTTCTCCAGCCCCCACAACCTCAGCAGACGAATCAGCAACGCTGCCAGAGCACAGCAGAGGCCCCATCTGCTCCTCCAGCCTTTCCCCACTTCCAGAACGCATCACACAAGCAGCAGAAGGGCAGAGGCTCTGCCCTCCCTCCTTACGCAGGGATAAATGCATCCCCAGGGAGGGCGAGCGGCGAGCTGCTCTGCTCTGAGCACAGACAGATCACAAAATAGATCACTGGGTCAGGGAGGCTCCAGCAATTCGCCTTCATGGGAGCAAGCAGCAGGAAGCAGGGGTGTACTTACCATCTCGAGGGGTCGGCGGAGTCTGGGTAAAATAACTATTGGGCTTATCTGCAAAGAAAAACAAAACAAGGAGCTATCAGCAGTGTTATTGCACACACTCCTCCTCCCCCACAGCTTCTCTCCCTGGTGGATTTGGGGCCATGGAGCACCTGCAATGAACAGGGAACAGCAGGAGCAGCCCCAGGAGCCTGGCTCTCCTGCTGGCATCGCTGAGCATCTCTGGCTGCAGCCCTCCTCTGCGCCATTTGGCCACGGCCACAGTGCAAATCCCACTGTGAGGCCCATTGCTTGGGACAGGGACAGCACCGGGGGAGCCCAGAAAAGAAGAGGGGACAAAGAAGCACAGGCAGACAGAATATCAAGAGCATAGGACTGTGAGGCACAGCCCTGCTGTCAGCCAGCTCTTTGCATTTGGAAAAGCAGAAGAGTTTCACTCAGGAGCAGCCCATAGCCAGTGTCAAGCTGCCACCTAGTAAGCAATGCACCCATGGCAGCAGAGGGGACACACTGCTTCCTTACCACCCCTCCATTCCCCTCCCATTGCCTCTGCCTTGCTCGGGGCAGTACTTTTGCAATGTATTCACACCTTTTACCAGTTGTCCAAGCACACACACCCAGGGAAGCTGTGCTCCCCAAAGCTGGAGGACCCACCCATTCCCTGAAGGCTTTCCTCCCCGCAGGTGCATTCCAGCATCAAGGAGGTCAATGACACCATTGCAAGGAGTGTGCCTGGAGAAAAGCTGGTGCAAGGATGAGGCCACAGAGCAGCCAGCAACACGTGGCCGCGTGCAATATGCTCAGCCACACCAGAAGCAGACTGGCATCCCGAGCACTGAAGAAGGACTTCCACCTCTCCCCAGCCTTCTCCTGCTTCCCCTTCCCTGCCCTGCTCCTCCCACGCCCCCGGGGGGCACCTACAGTTATTGAGGAAGAGCAGCACAGCAAATCCCAGCGTGGAGGTGGCCAGGAGGATGAGGCAAATGTTGCACGGGATCATGAAGTAGCGCACCACCAAGGAGACCTTGTGCTGGTACAGCCGGTCCCGTTCCAAGGCCCCCGGTGCCATGGGGTACTGGCAAGCCGTCATGCTGCGCTTAAAGTTCAACCTGCTGGTGATCCATCCAAGGCAGAGCGGCCACGAGGCTCACACAGATGCCCTCTGTTCCCCTTTTTTCGGCAGCAGCAAGACCCCAGTTTTCCCGGAGGTTCCCATCCTCTAGGGAACAGGAGGGCAGCGCAGGTTGGTGGCACCTTCAGGACCAAGAGTTTATCCCCACGTCTGCCATCATGGGTCTGAGCATTTTCCGGAGAGACCCCCACAGCCCCGTGCTCAGCAATGCCCCTTCCAGCCAGGGAGACGTCAATCCGTGCGTGCCAGCAGAGAGCGGGCAAAGAAACCACGAGCAAAAGTGCTGAGAGCTCAACTCCTGCCTCCAAGCCCACCAGAATGGTGACAAGTATGCTGGGGGGCCACCGCAGCACCCCCACACCCCGGTGCCTGCGAGCAGGGCTGGCAGAGGGGCAGCAGGAAAGGGACCAGCATGAGACCCCTCTCTCAGCCTCCACGTCCTCTCAATGGCTCCGGGGATGCCGCTGCTCCCTCCACGCTCCTCGCACCTCCTGCAGCCGCGGCTCCTTGGGATGAGTTCTCCCAATCCCGTACCCCTCAGGCAGGGCTGGGGAGGACCCCCACAAACCGCAGCCCCTCTCACAGCGACCGCAAATCCAAATCCATCCCCGCTCTGCTGGTGCGCAGCTCCTCTCCCCCGCCGCCTCGCCAGCTCTCCGGCACCCTCCCAGCCCTCGGGCCAGCAGCAAGGGGCCACCGCCCGGCTCGTCCCCCTCTGCGAGCTGTCACCTCGCCGGCAGGGAGCCGAGCTGTCACCTGCGTGGTGGCTGGGATGGGCCAGCTCCCCTTCTCACACTGCTGTGACATGCCAGTCCGTCCCAAAGCGGTCCCCGTCCCTCGCCGAGCCGGGCATCAAGAGAGCGACGGTGGGAGCGATGCGTGCGATGTGACAGCGCTCAGCCCTCATCCACCCGCGTGCGGTCAGAGGGCTGAGCGGCACCAGACAATAAAATGACAAGGGAAAAGGAAGAAAAAAGCCAAGCAACCGCGTGTCCCCGCCTGCCCCACGCCCCGAAGTTTCTCCGCCTCGTTCAGCTCCGGTGTCCCGGTCCCTCCGGAGAGGAACGGCAGCCGACAATAGGGATGAGAAAAGAGGATGAGGAAGGACGCCGGGTCGTTCGCTTCGCCCGCGCCCGTGATGGGAGCAGGAACGGCTGTGAACAAAGGCAGCGGGCAGCGCTCTGCCCCAACGCCCGAGGAGCACAAAGGCAGCGGGAGCTCAGCTCGGCTCCTCGCCCCTCGTCCCCACGCCGCAGCCACCTGCGAGCATCCCCGCCAGCATCCCGCTGCTCCCGGCGAGACGGAGCGCGGGGTCCTCCTCGCCCTGCTCCCTCGGGAGAGCACGGGAAGGGAAGAAAAAAAATCCCTCTCCTCCGCCTCTTCCCCCCACCCCCTTCGCCTTTTCATTCGTGAACTAAAGATGTTGGGAGAGGCGGGGACTGCACTGTCAAAACTCATTATGCCTCCCCCGGCAGCGCCTCTGCCCGTGCCCCCTCCCCGCTCCGCCCGCCCGGGCCAGGACCCCCAGGAGCCAAACGAAGCGGAGCATGAAAACCAGCGATAAAAAACCATACCAACCGTTTTTAAGATACGTATTAGAGAGAGAGCGAGGTGTAATGACACCTTCTGGTACGCTCGGAGCTGGGGAGGTAAGGAAGAAACCCATGCCTAGGCAAAATGCTGCCCCAAGGGAGCAGAAAATTCTCCCTGGGAATTTCGGGAGCATCATAAAAAGGTGTGGAGTGCTCCGGCCCTCTCCTCCTCTTGGTCACCACCACGCAGGTGACAAAATCCTTCACCCAAGCTTGGAATCCTTCTGCATCTCCCACACACGCAGGTGCCTGGAGCCTGCAGCACGGCAATGCCCAGCCCATGGCCTCAATGCTCCCTTCGGGTCAGGGTTTCACTGGAAACTCAGTTCCCCCCCCTCCCCAGCAAGGCTTGGCTTCCCATAAAGAAGAAAAAAAAATCCCAAAGCAAAGCGAGGCCATTTGCATCCCCTGGTGCATGTTTACACATGCAAATCAGCCTGGCACAGTCTTCCCTTTCTTCTCGGGGCTGCAGGACTTGCATCCCCCCTTTTTTCCCCCCCCAACCCCGGCCATTGGGGGCCACTTGTAGGGGCAGCTCTGCAGGAGCTCCCTATGCACGTCCTGGGGGAGGCAGGTTCCAGCTCCAGCCCACTGCACCCTCAAAGAACACAACATCCACACCTTTGCCCCCTGTGTATTTCGGATGAGGTTTTATGGTCGGAGGAGCCACCTGCATTGGGGATATATCACATTTGCCAGGTCCACGTGGACCATCAGTTTGTTATCCCCAGCACACACTCTTCACGCTTTGGGCACCATGAAAGACCAGACAGAGGAATATAACAGAGCCACCGTGGTGTCAAACCACCTCAGGCTTCCCAAACCTGGCTCACAAGAGCTGCCCAGCCTCAGGCACAGCTGCTACTCCTCTATGACGGGGAAGAAAACATTATCTTTGTGTCCATCCATCCTCCCCCCCCCCCGCCCATTTCTCCAAATGAAAGCATTCGATGCATTAAGGCCTCCGTGTGGTCACCAGCCACTGGAAAGGCTGGTGCTGTTAATGGGTTCATTGCTGGGATTTCACAGCCAGGAGGTCACAGCTGCTGGCAGCACGCAGCCGATGGGCAGAAGGGGCTGGGTGAGGTGGGGTCCCCAAGCCCCATAGCTGCAGATGCGGGCTCCACCTCGGGTCCAGGCACATCCCACAGATGGGGGGAACGCTCGCGTGTGTTTTTTTGCAGGACGCCAACCTCAAACTGGGAAGAAAACACCAACCAGCAGACGCCCATTTTGTTCCCTTCGCCCCTTCGTTTCTCCTCACCAAATGCCGCGTACCAACCTGAGCCCAAAACGCAGTGATGCTCGGGGGTGGGACTGACAGCTGTCAATCTGTCCCTCCTTGCAGAGCCCCTGCAGAACCCCCCCCCCCAGCTCCTGCTGCTGCCAGGCTGATTCCCCACCTGGCTCCCTTCTCGCTAATCCTGTTTGGCAGGGAGCTAATTGGGATTTATGTGACAGCACCCAGTGCCTGGAGAGCCATTTCGCACTCCCTCCTGGGGAGGAGGAGGAGGAGGGAGCCCGCAGAAGGTGCTTACACGTTCTCCCTTCCCCATCCCCTCCTGCAGTTTTACAGGCTAATTACCAGCATTACAGCGAGAGGAGAGGGAGGGGGAGAAAGTGGGGATTTTAATTATTTCATTTAACACTTGGCAGGACCCAGCTCGACTCCTGCTGAGCACTGCCTAGAAATAAAGAGCTTTAAAACCCTGCCAATGGGAGATGGGGGAGAGAGGGTCACAGCCACTCTCCGTGTGCAAGTCCCATCCGTGCACACCCTGCATGTAGGCAGGAACCTGCTCCTCTGCTATCCCAAAGTCACAGCGTGGAGCCCACACCTCATCTACCTTGTCCCACTATGCAGCAGCGAATGGGTTTTATGTCTGCTACCCCTCTTAATTAAAAAAAAATACATATAAAGGCAATTCTTTAGAATAAGAGTAGCACACAGCAATCCGTGCGCTGCTATAAGGATGAGGCTGCTGCCCCGAAGTGGTCACACAGCAAACCAAAATCAACCCAGGGAGGGAGGTGGTGCAGTTTGATGCTAAATCCATGCTGATGCCCACTGCTGTGCCCAGGGACCCGTGGCAGCCCCTGGTCACACTGCTGTCCTTTGGCTTGTTGGGCTGCCAGGACAATTCCCTGTTGCAGGACAAGGGCTGCAGAGCAGGGCTGAAGCCAAGCTGATGAGACAAAGACCCTCAAAGCTCATCCCTCTCTTGTGATCCCCATTACTCCAGGTAGGCAGCACTCCTGCCCTAACCCTAATGCAGGACAAAGGTCTGGAAGCTCACCCCAAAACCAGTGCCATTCACAGCCAGCCAACAGCCCCGACACAGCACAGCACAGCCTGCTCCTCCTGTGGTCTCACACTGCCATCTGCTGCTCTCACTGCAAACGTTCGGATGGGAGGAGCTCCAGCCAGGCTGGGAGCATCGCACTGGGGCCACTTGCTGCATTATGGCATGAGTGCAGCATGGAGGGGATCACAGAACCTGTCAGGTTGGAAAAGACCTCTAAGATTACCCACCTTGCCCACTAACCACGACCCTCAGCCCAGCAGTGCAGCCTGCCCAGCTGCAGAGCCTTCAGGCAGATCAACACAGCCTCCCAACTTGCTGTCCTCAGCAAACTTACTGAGGGTGCACTCAATCCCCTCAATCAGACTGTCACAAAGCTATTAATCAGAGCTGAGCCCGCTACCAATCCTGGGCAACACCACTAGAGACCGGACTGCAGCTGGATGCAACTCCATTCATCACCACTCTCCGGTCCAGACAGTTTTTTATACCCAACAAACCCATCTGCCCAAGCCGTGGGCTGCCAGGATGATCCTACAGCAACACAGCAGGGCGAACAACCAGCTCAACAACCTCACAGATCAACCAGTGGGGAAATCCATCCTGCTAGCAAGAAGCAGCCACGCAAAGCAAAGCCATCAGAGCTGCACTCGATCCTTCATGGGTCATTTTCAACTTGGGATGTTCTAAGCCCTGCTCAGGAGCTTGAAGGGAGCACCAAAGGAAGCCCTTTTTCCCCTCACCACCAGCAGCATCTTACAGCTAAGGAGCAGGATGCCAGCAGGGGATGCTGTCGGCTCAGCTAGCGCTGCTCCCAGCTATGCTGCTCCCAGAGAGGCCCAGGGTCCAAGCCAGGAGCAAGCAGCTCTCAATAAAACTTTTATATCCCTCCGTTCCCCATTCAGCATGTTTTACAGTGAAAGCATGTGGCCAAGGCAGCCTGTGCTCCATGCTCCATCCCACCCCACATCCCACCCCAACACCACCTGCAGCAATGCTGCTCTCCTCCCCACCCCTCCCCAGGAAGGCAATGAAGGGCTGAGGATGGAGAGGGACATGAGACAGGTGAGAGGTGGCCTTAGATCACAGTTTGCACGTTTTGCAAGGACAGTGGCAATCCAGCTGAGCCCACCGACGTCAGGCTGAGAGGATACTGGCAGAAAGAACAGGCAGCTCTTCAAACTGTGATCTAAAGGCAATAGATGCCCCTGAGGTGAGTGCAGCCAGCAGGCCATGGGGATGGGTGTGCTGCCCCCACCTCTGGAAGGGCCCTATTGCTCCAGCATGTCCTGGGTGGATGGAAACATGAGGGAGACTAACCAGTGAGTTTGACAGTGGATGGGAAAAAGAATACATGGTATTTTTTTGCATGACACACCACCACTTACCAGCAAGAAGCTTCCTATGTTCTTTAGAAAGCGAGGGGAAGAGAAAAAGGAGAGAACAACAGTTAGAACAAGAGAACAAGCAGCTCACCCAGCTCTCTCCTGCCCCCAGATCCCTCCTCCTGCCCCCTCGCAGGGGCACCCCTGGCCCTGCAGCCCCACATTGCACAGAAGAAGCAGACAGAGGAGATGCCATGCAGCAGTGGCATTTTCCCATGTGTTGCAGAAGTCCCACCTTGTCCTGCAGCACGGGAAGATGTCAGCTCTGACCGATAACCACTGGCACTGCAGCACACAATGGCTAACAAGGGTCCTGCAGAGGGCAACGAGTGCAGCCAAAGAGCCAGAAGGCAGCAAGCAGCAGTAGGATTGCCTTGTCAATATTCCAAAATGTTTTCCGAAACCAAGCTCATGCTTTGGAAGCATTCAGGAGCTCAGCCTGGAGGCCGC